TTCTATTGTTGGTGCGCGCGGCTGAGTGGGTGGTCTGGGGCGTGGGAGAGAGGGAGGGAAAGGAGAGAGGGGCTGGCAGTTGTATGATGAATGGATGGATGGCTAGCTAACACCCACCGCAGTCCCTCTAATCGGCATCAACCTCCTCGTCATAGTCTACGAGTTAATCCTCGGATAATACCCCATCAGGCTGGGCTAGGACGGCCCACCCTATCAACGATATCAAGCGGGCGGAGGACGAGCGCATAGAAACGCGAGTTGCGGGTATCATAATACGAACAGATTTTGGTTGGAAAAACTGTACTATAAACAAATTACGGGAACACAGCGATGGCATACACACAAACACGGCGTTACAAAGGGTGCTGGCGGGCGGGGGAGGAAGGAGCCTTTACAATAGCAGAACGAATCGTCACGAAATGAAACATCTTTTCAAATTCACAAAATCGAGTTTTATATAAATTATTAGAATCAAGCACGCGGGAAGGAAAGGCAAAGGTGATACGGTGGTAATCGGACAATATTTCCTTATTCCAATATCATCTCTACTACCCAAACCAATCCTATCCTATCCAATATACCCCCTTCCTTTCCTCCCACTTTCAAACCCAAAAACAGACACACACACCTCAGTGCCTCATATGCCCGTCTGCTGGGGTTGGCCATGCATGCATGCATCCCCCCACCCCACGGCGTCCTGTGTGCTACATAATACTGTCTAATATTAAGTCCCTCCCCCCAACATCATTCATGCCACTCCTCTGCTCGGAATAAAAATGCTGTACACTCAAAAGTATGTCCAACGACGCCTCGACCATAAAAATGCGCGGCAATCTTTGACAGCGCGGACAGAACAGACAAGGCAGACAGAGATCCCTCCCTCCCGTACTTTTAGCGGTCCACCTCATGCTCACAAATATATGTACTTCCCCATCCCACCTCCAGACCCCTCTGCATACAACCCGCCCCCCCCCCTATCCAATTCAATCCCATTCAATCCACCCCCCACCTCACTATTGCGGCGAAAGATTACTCTTCTTCCTCCCCAAACTAAAGCTAAACCTCTCCTTCGCCGGCTTCGCCAACCGATCCGGGATAGGCGGTATAGCCTGATCGCCATCCACCGCCACCTCTCCCTTCGACGAGTCATTCTTCAGCCATCCCAGCGACCGACGACTCATGCTCTTCGCACCCGGGCGATTGCGGTTGACGGTCAGACCGCTGATGAAGCCATTCTCCTTCTTACTGTTGTTGATGTTGATGTTGCTGCTGCTGCTATCGGCCGGTCCAGTCGCTAGTGAAGACGACGACGACGCAGCCTCGCGCCGGCGCTTCTCCTCATCCTCAGCCGCCGAGATCTTACTCGCGTTCATCGCATTCTTCAGCGCCTCAGCTTGCGTCCTCTGCGCCTCCTTGCGCCTTTGATCGAGCTCCTTCCTCTGCCTCTCGTCCGCCTTGGCTTTCTCCTTATCGGCTGCAGCCTTCTCCTTCTCAGCCTGCTTCCTCGCCTTCTCAGCCTCCTTGCTCTCCTTCTTCGCGGCTGCGCGGTCGGCCTTCTTGGGCGCCTCGAATTGCGATGGTAGGGACTGTGCTATTGTGTCTGGCACCGCTGGGTGCATTTCAGGGGAAGTCGATAGTGTGGGGTTCGTTTGTGCATGGGCTAGGGGTGGTAGTACTTCGTCCTTGGCCGGCGTCGGAGGCAGTGTCATCTGCCTCGAGATCAGGCTTCCGTTCGCACCGGGTGTCTGCGGTTGCGTGGTTGGGATGCCAGCTTCTTCGGTAGCAATCGCAACCTCGTCGACACCCTCGGCCTCTTGCTCCTTGCGAACAGCTTCTAACGTCGTTTCCTGGTAGAACAGGACGTACGCACATGCCATTCCCGGCTTATCGCCAAAGAAGTTGCGCACGTAGTGCTTATCAACGGGCTCGACCATCTCGTCATCGAATAATAACCAGCCTCTATCTTTTGTCTTGATAATTGATATGTAATGACCGTGGTATGCATTTCCACCAATGTGCACAACAACGCCGTAGAGTTCGTAAAGCCTATCCGGATCCTCTGCGTCGTCTGTGGTGTTGAACATACGTAAATGGTATGGATACACGACTCTATGGAACAGCTTCTGCAGACGCGTCATATCCTCGGTATACTTAAATCTCTTCAAGTGTAGCGTCAGGATCTTCGGCAGCCGCTTGATCTTCATGCGTTTCTCAGCCTCTTGCAGCCCACCACAGTTGTCGCAATGAAACTTGTTTCTCTCGCACAGCATTTCCTCCGCAGAAAATTTCCGGAGGCAGGACGTGACCGACGAGTGCTGTTCTAAGTCGATTGACAGATCAATGAATGTCTCGTCTCGCTGAGACGCAGATTCGCAAGTAAGGCATTTAGTCTCAGACGTCAAAACACCCTCAAAGATATCATGAACCCATCCGGTCCCAGGGGACTGAGCACCAGTTGATAGGCCCATCGCCGACGCCGCATTAGCAAAAGCCGACATCATGCCGTCGCCCAGAGCTTCTTCATTCTTGGGCGGCTCTAGTTCTTTGAGTCTCCTCGCATTTTCTTCTACATTTGTAATCACAGCATTGAGCAAGATTCCGTAAAATTCGTGTGCATCTTGGTGCATGGTAGTGCGGAACATCTCATTGTCCCGCTTGAAGATCTCCAAAAACCTCTGTGGGCTGAGTATACCCATCCTCGTCTGTGACTGTATGAGCGTCGTGAAAATGTCCTTCAACGCCGTGAAGGTGGATTCCTCCATGCCATACTGACGGGCATTCTCGTACGTCAAATCCACGATAGGCCCTGCCAGCATGGCCTGCTTCTTTTTATATTCTGGCGAGTCTGGCTTATCTTCTGGTCTAACTTGACCCGGGGGCGCCTGCGGAGGTGGCGTTGCCGCTACGGCCGCTCGCCGCTTCGCTGCTTCTGCTGCCGACAATCCCTTTGCGGTTTGCGGGTGAACTGCTCCTCCATTCATGGAGCTCGATATAACGGGTTTTGGGTTTGCGTTCGGGGTGTCGTGAGGCGAATGAGGGGGGTATTGTAGTACATGTTCTCGGAATGGTATGGAGTAGTATAGAGCTTGAACGATTGAATTGCAATAACTGTACAATGTCAGAAAGGCGATCGCGCCTGCGGAAGTATAATCACAAACCAGGTATTTCCAAACTATTTTGCCTAAGTCAGTAAACTGCGCAACCTGTGTGGAATGGAAGGGGGGGTCTCATACATTTTCCATCCCAAAGAACTTATCGCTCCCATCAGGTCGGATAGGTCCAGCATTGAGCAACATCTTCTCCAGCGGCGTCAACTCCACCACAGGCTCCTGCTGCTGCTTCTTCGACGCATTCGCATTCTGGCCCGGACTTGACGGTCCCTAGCCCTCCGTCAGCACACAAAGCCACCCCAAAAAAACCCCCGAAAACCGCATCGCAAAGCCAGCAGCTGGGGTCCCAAAACGAACCCGCCCTCGCCGCAGAGCCCCGCCATTGGTCATCGGCGCACACGACAAACGGGAAAAGAGAGACTCACGGTGCCGGTCTTGAACTTGCTGAACAGGCCCGTCATGGCGACGACGGTCGTGGCGTTGCGTTGCGGTGCGCGGAGGGGTGCGTGATCGAGTCGGTTGAGGGGCGCGGGCGACGGCCACTGTGGGACGTCACACACAGTTTCGCCGGAGGCAGGTGGGATGGAGCTTAGGCTGTGCTCATCTCAATTCGCGATATGCAGTTGTTGAAGGTCGATGGGGAAGGAGTTATTCTTGCCCTTGCCAGTTTTCCGGGGAAGGAGAATTGGACTCGGAGGAGAGGTTGTCAAAGCGGGGAGGACTGTGGTTGTGGGAGCGGTTTCTTTGCCTGTTCAGCTTTGGGGGCTGGAGCGTGCAGGTGGTGTGGATGGCGTCAATGGGGGGAGAGCCTGTTGCTACTTGGTGGGAGATGGATGCTGTTGATGGAAGGTAAAGATAGATGAGCGAGTTGACAAGGACTTGGACATGAGATGGGGAGCAAACGGGCGGCAGAGATGGTTGGAGGGCTGGTTGTTGGTTTTGGTTTCGGTGGTTATGGTGGAGTGTGGCTTCCGTTGTGGTGGTGTCTCGGGAAGGAGTGAGTTGAAAGGTGGACCCTTTGTAATGGGATGGAAGCATGGAGCAAGGGATGAGGGAAGAAGGAAGCAGCGGGGGATGGAGAAGTGGAGGAGGAGAGAGGAGAGTGTGCGTGGTGCATGGAAGGGGTGGAATGGTGGAAGGTGGTAGAGTAACTGGGGAGGACTGGGGGGGTTGAGGTATGGAGGTACTTTAGAATAGTATGGGGGGAGCAGCAAGGCAGTATGTACCTTGTTTTAGTAAGAATTACTAGTGGTAATCATACAGTAGCAAGGGCTCACAGTACTGCAGAAAGAGTAGAGTACTAGAATCAGGTAAGCCACAGTCTATTTAATGTTAGAGGAGGGATCTTGGAGGAGGGAGGGGATCCTTCCAAATTGATAGGAGGAATGGGAGAAAGGCAGCCGAAAGGCGTTGTTATGGGGGTGGTGTATGGGTGTATGGGGGAGTTTATGGGGTGGTTTATTGGGGCCACTAGAGGCTAAAATGGGGCCAAGTTCGAACAGTGCTGAGTGCATGGTTGGTGGTACGATTAATGGGTAATGGGGATTGTTGGGACGGAGAGAGGAGAGAGGCTGGAGGGACTGGAGAGGCTGGAGAGGGCTGGAGAGTCGTGCACTTGTCTTGTAGAGAGTTAAAGTAAGGTACACACATAAGTAAGCAGTAAAAAGTCGAGTAGTACAGTAGTCGGAGTAGTAGTAGTCGGCGTAGTAGTATGCGTCCTGCAGGTCACAATTGTTGGTACGAGTAACTCTACAGCCTGATCCTGATTAATCCAACAGCACCTAAAATACCACCACAGCCATATACAGATTACACACTTAGTAAATTGTGGCTCCTAACAAATCGCACAGCCTCCTTGCCCTCCTCCTCTCTCCTCCCCTCTCCTCCCCTCTCCTCCCCTCTCCTCTCCTCTACTCTCCCTCCTAAATACTATCTCCTACCTCCGTACTACACCCGTAACCCTCCCTCCCACCTCCATCCATCCAACACCCCTAATCCCTCTCTCACACCCACCCAGCCGATCCCTCCCCGCCAAAACCTCCCCTAGCCACACAATCCCTCGTGGCTCCCCCATCCCCCCCCAGCACCTCGCTTCCCACCCACGCAGTTTGACAGCCCCAAACAACGCCTATCCCCACCAATCAGCGCTTCCACACCGCCATCCCTGAACTGCCATGTGCTCAGCTGTTGATAGACGTAGTGCAGTACAGTAGTACGGTGCAGTACGGTAGCACCAGTGCGTTCTGGGTGTCTCTGGTCCGCCGTACTAGAAACCGGCCAGGACCAATACTGCAATGTGTTCATCCTTCCTTTTATCCAGAACAGTACCAGCCCTGCCAACTTTCTAACCCTTCTAACCCTCCTTCCCACCCGTCCCCCAGCTTCCCCATCATCCCCAACACCCCTCCCCTGGCCCGTCTGTCCCCCCTCCAACCCACACACCACGGACTCAACCCTCCGCAATACCGCCGTGAGACGCCCGCGGTTGGCGGGCGATGCAACATCCCCCGCCAACCCGACGCCACGGCCTACGGGAGGGGTGAGCTTGTGCGTGCTAGGCACTGGTTGCTGTTGGCGGGCAGAGTTTCCCCGGAGGCGGGAACGTATGATGGTGGCGAGGAAGGGGGGAGATCGGATCGGCACGTAGGGAGTTTAGGCGGGGTGATGATGATGATGTTACGAGGGGATGTACGTAGGGGATACGCAGTTGTGGAATCAGCTGGACGTGTGGTGGTGGTGGTGGTTACGTGTGTTTGCGAATAGGCAGCTAGAAATGGGTAGCTAGGTGGCAAGCTATAGCTGTCGTGGCCAAGAGGATATGTGGAGAATGGTGGTGAGCTGTTGGCGTACAGCACGTGAACACGAGAAAGTGGCTGCCTCTCAAGGCACGCAGTATATAGCTTTCCCGGTCAAGAGAAAGCTATACGTGCCTATCTATCCAGGAAGGGTGGTGGTAAGCTGTCGAAGCACAGCACGTGAACACGATCGATAAATGGCTGACTCCTGTCCAGACACGTAGTATAGCTTCGTCGAGAGCTCTAGGAAGGTGTGCTGGTAAGCTGTTGGAAAAATATCACATGAACACGATCAATAAACGGCTGCCTCCTATCCAGGCACGTAGTATAGCTTCGTCAAGAGCCTAAGAAATGTAGCAGTAAGTCATCATAGTCCCTCCAGTCGAGTATCCCAGGACACAAGCACAAACAGACCAAAAGGATACATCATATACACATTGTATTCCCCACCAACATCGCGCCGCTACAAGTGGTATCCCTCCAAACGCCGCCGCAGCCATGACCGCATCATAGTATACAAAAAAAATGCTCCCGCTGCGAACAAACTTACAAAAGGCCGCAGCCTACCCGCTCCCCAAAGCACACCTATCGTACTGTAGACACCTCCAAAAGCTTCCCTTCCTCCCTTCCTCCCCTCCTCCCCTCACAAATACCTCAACCGCCTCGTCGCATACGCCGCCCCCAACGTACTCAACGCCCCAATAAACAAACAAACCGCAATCCCATTAACCCCCTCCTTCTTGACTTCCCCCCCTTCCCCCCCCGCCAACTCCGGGCTCTTCCCCGGCTCCAGCACCGAAAAAACAATCAACGAAATAAACGTCCCCACAAACTGCGGCAACGTCGTATAGATATTCAGAATCCCAAAATAAATCCCCGACAGCTCCCCCGTGGACGCGATATCCTCGTCGCCGCCGCGGTGGAGGAGAGAGGCGGACGAGGGACGGAGAAGCTCGAAGGAGTCCGAGCGGCGGGCGTCGGAGCGCCGGCGGTAGGAGGAGGTGGGGGGGGCGCCGGAGCTGAGGCGGTTTACTTCGATGCCAAGGAAGGCGAAGGGGGCCCAGGAGCCGAGGACCCAGGGGCTGGGGGGTGGTTAGTTGTGTCTTACTTGGAAGATAAGGGGGGGGGGCTTACAGTCCGCAGAATGCGACGAGGGCGGTGGCGAAGCGGAAGGATGATGCGAGGGGTGCGAGGATCATGGCGCCGGCGAACATGAAGTGTCCGATGAACCAAGCTGTGAGCAGGTCAGGCTTGTGCTTAGTGACGAGTTTGACGAGCTTAGCGATGCTGCTCGGTGGGCGGGGCGTGAAGTTGTCTTCCTCTGGCGAGCGCACGAAGAAAGGCATGAGGAACGCCCCTGCGAAGGTGACCATGGAGAACACAACCAGTGCCATGCTTCCAATGCGCCCGACGTCTCCGAGCGCGTCTTCCGACTGCTTCACATCCACAGGCGCGTCGTAGCGGAAGTACGTCTCACCAACCCATGTGCTGCCGTAGAAGAGGAATGGGAACCAGCCGATCCAGGCCCAGAATTGCGCCCAGCAGATGGCTTGGATGCGGGGGGGGAGGTGCATGATAGTCTTGATGATCTTGCGCACGACCTTGACGCCGCTTGTTGTTGCGTCGGAGGACTTGCCGGAGATGAGGACGCGCTCCGTTACGGCCCAGGAGGACACGCCGACGGTGAACATCAAGATGAAGCAGGCGATGAGGACTAGCTTCTTCAGCTGCGTGTCGCCCATGCCCTTTCCAAAGATAGAGACGAGGTCGATTGTCCCCGCCGCGTACCCAACCAGGTGTCCCACCGCGACCATCCTACTCGCCCAGGCCGATCCGAGTTGCTGCTTGGGAATAGGCAGGGTATCGACGATCAAGCTGCGGCCACAGGATTGAATCGCATTGATGGCAAAGTCCACAGCGTAGATGCTAAATACAGCCACCACGATTGTCCACGTCTTTGCCTTCTCCTCGTCCGACACGAACACCCCCACGAGTTCCTTCGCCCATGCCATCGCGATGAACGAGATCGAAACGATTATCGACGCAATGACCATGAAGGGTCTCCTCCGGCCGAATTTCGACTTCGATTGATCCGCGATCACGCCGACGATGGGCTGCATTATGAGGCCGGAGAGGGGGCCTGCGATCCAGACGAGGGAGGTTCGACTTTTCGTGAGCCCGAGTGCGAGGAGGTATGGTGTGCAGTCTGTATGGTGTGTTAGCATTCTATAGTCAATAAACAAAGGCGATTGGGGTGCTTACAAGTCATCTCGACTCCCCATGTGAACCTAGAAAAGCTATCAGCATAATTATCCCCCCGAATCTGAGCAGCTGAGCTTACTGGATCCCAATTAGGGACATGGTCAACAGAGCCATCCTCATGGACTCCGTAGAGCCCTTTATGGATGGCTGCCCTGCCCACGACGCCATATCTTTGCCGTCTCCCAATTTATCCTCCATCAAGTCCTCGTGCTCCTCCGGTCGCCGCCAACCGCCCGTCGGATACCTGGGCACAGAGTACCCGTTGGCATCATCACTCGAATTGTCTTTGAGCACTATCATAGCTGCTCTGCATATTTCCTCGCGTACACCCTTAACAGCCAACAAAATGTCGTTTGAGGGTAGTCGTCGTTCGTTCCGTCAACAGATTGGGAGGACGTTTTTGAGGGCTGGGTGACCTAGGAGGCGTTGACTTTGGGGATATTTTGGGAACGACAGGGGTCGCCTCAAGCGGCGGGTGAATTGGCTGGCGTTTTGGGACATGGGGGTGCCCAGGGGGAGGGTTATCGCAGGTCGGTCCACAATCGCTGGTCCTAGCCCCTCCTCATCAAAAATGATTGCGTGTAAACCGCCCCTTCTAAAACACATTAATTTTAGACAGTGTGGAGTAAGTAATCTAGACCACCTTTTTGCTATGTCTGAAGATGCGTTGGGAAAGGATAGCTCGAGCGGCAAAAAAGGCAAAAAAATATAGTGTTCTTAATCGAGGTGATCCTCGACTCGCAGATTGCGGCTTCTGTGGATCGAACACAGTGCCTCCAGATATCGGAGCTGAAGTTGTCTTCAGTCTGGCGCTCTCCCAAGTGAGCTAAAGCCGCCTTGGTGTTAGACGGGAGATTATCGGTGTACATAACATGAATATCGTCAAGTTCAATGGATAAACTACAATTTATCTATTTTATATGGTAATTTCGAATATAAATGGAAGGTACGACTGAGAGTCGTTGCCAAATCTACCCAACAATACTTCGAGCATCACTCCTTCCCATAATATTATTGTCCCCGCATACCGTAGTATTAATAATCGACGGCACAAAATACCCAATAAAAAGTTACGGGATTCTTTCGGGCTGCACCGAAAGACGGATACCCGGTTCGGGAATCCGTCAAGGATGCGGCGACTGTCACATATCACTTCTTGGAGGGGGAGGCGGTCTGGAGGCTGATACGACCCAAGCTCCAAGTCACAACCACAGTTACGACCTAGAAAAGCCCTATGTATAGCCATCGTGAAAGCTGAGCTGTGGGAAATCAAAACTACGATTGGATGGTAAAATATCGCTCAGCACACAAGGGCAACCGGGGAGTTATAAACGCGTAGGTGTACGTGGTGTGGGCGTTAAATCAAGATTTTGGCTTCCTGTGTAATGTACACCGACAATGCGCCGTGAGCCGTCCTCGCTATATCTTACTCAAATAGGGGTCCCTCTCAAGAGTATGAAGCCGTAGGAAAAGCACACAAGCAGAGGAGGTTCAACACCCATGATCCGATCCAGCCCGATCCAACAGCCCCCAGTTTACTTCCTTGGAACAGAGATAGTAAGCCAAGGGAGGATATAGAGCATGTACTGTCGCATCGGGCGGGATGCTCGATATATTTGGTCCAGGCTGCGCCATCCTTACAGAGTGTGATCCCATCAGCTGCATGCAGCCTGTTTCCGCATAAGCTCTCCTGCATATCACCCTGGCCGCGCATCCTTTAGAGATTCGAAGATTAAGTCTTCATCTGACAGATCGCTGGGTCTCTCAGAAGGAATTTGATGGTACGGGGAGCTGCGATGTGATACAGTGAAGTGAAGTATAGTTGCCAGTTGCCAGTTGCCGATACAGAAACTGCACTGTGCACAACATGTCCAGTGCGAGATGAATGTGAGACAAAAGAGCTGGATGTTGAATATCAAGAGTACTCTAGCATCGGCGAGCTGGAATACGGGGGGAAGTACTACCCCACTGACTGTACTGTGCATCCTCACCCCCACGTCGCCCAGTAAAGGAAAGCGCAATGCTCTCCTGGCCGATTACAGGTTATTGTCGCCACCACCGCCGAGGGCTGAGAGTCTGTGTGTATTTATGTGGTCTCTGTGGTCTCCGTACAGAAATTCTGGGGCCAAAACTCGCGCTTCAGTCAGTCATCTTGCCTCGGGGCTTACGAGTAGCGGCCCGCATGTCTCTGACGAGGCTGGCTATCCCCATCCATCTCCAAGAGCCAGTGGGCGTTCCCCGCCACATCACAGGCACCCAATCGCTACTGGCCAGCGCGCCCCTACAGTCAGAGACATGTCCCCAGTGACCTCGCGACAACTCATCTTCTATGTCTATTGCAGATTCACAAACTGATCTTCACGTCATCCACGCCTTTGGTTCGTACTCACGTTTAGGCGCGGTGGTGGAGGTGGCGGTGGTTTGCGACAGCCCCAACTGACCTGCGTCTCACTTCGACTCCCCGCCCGCGGCCAACCAAGCCGGTTCCGACAGTCACTACATTGACGTCGCACCACTCACTCGAACGTCGGTTCACGATAAACACACTCTCGTCGTGTCCCCCGGCAATGAGGGAGACGATCGTCATGCTCGGCAGTCTACCCGGGAGCCCTCTGGACGGGGAGCTCAGCCCAACCTTCGACGACGACAACCATAATGGTGTCAGCCTCTTCGGCGAACCATCTGATATGCTCGAAAGCGGGGAAACTCAGCCTGCGGGGTTTGAGATACAAGAACTGCCATCCACCCCAGACGAATCTACGCCATATCCCATGAGCGACGACGAAGGGGGAATGCTGTCAGATGGCGGGGTTCAGCTGGATATCAGTCAAGCTCATACCGAGTCCGTTGATCTCGACACAGATATGGCTCCGCCCGAAGCCGAGGAAAACTCCAGTTTACTCTCAATTCCACAAATCCATGCCATCTCGGAGCATGAGTCCTCCAATATTGCCGTCGGATTAGAGTCAGACACCATGCAACCCTCGTGGCCACAGGAACCCGGCCCTGGTGCCAGTGCGGTGGCTTATCAGATTTCAAACTTATTAGATGAGATATCAGGCTTAACACAACAAATACAGCATACTCAGCACGAGCATCCAGAACTGCAGCATATAGAGCAACAACTTCATGACCTGCAACAACTTCAAACCTTGCAACACATCCAAGGCATGCAAGAGCAAGGCGAACAACCAACGGTACCACACGGGGCGGCTTATGACCAAGGTAATTCACTTCTTTTTTATTGTCCTGTGCTTTTTGCTCCTTCCTCCAGTACTGGAAGCCAACTTGTCCATGCAGGTTCGATGCCTGCCGTATCCATGCCTCTCAACGCGGAAGACTTGGGTGCCGTCTCATCACTCTTGGAACCTGGTGGCCAGGCTTTAACTCATATTTCGCACGTTTCTCCACCAGTGAATACTTCAACACAGTCTGGTATTGCTGGCATCTTTGAGGTCATGAATGGCGTTGATATACCTTTCAATGTTCCTCCAGCTAATGTCGCACAAGTCGAAGTTTCACATGACAACATGACGCTATCCGACTTCCTGTTCCGCTGGAGCCTCACTATCAGATCCGAATCGAGGAAGGCAAACAGAGGTCCTCGATTAGAGCGTTTGCGCGAGTTCGGAACATCCATGCCAACTGAAATCCGAAGGACGGATTTGCGAGGCGAAAGGTGTGATATCCAGGGGATAAACTGGAAAAAACTGGAGGTCAAGCGACGAGACGCCAGGAGGATGCGGATCGCGAGTTATAAAAACTTTCACAACTTAACCCCGCCACCCTGGCTGCCACATGTTCTCAGCGACTCGTGTATCCAGGACGACAGCGAAGATTTCTTCAAGTTTCGCCGGATGAATTTTAAGCACAAGATGGACCTCCCTCACTTTCAATTACGGAACCTTGTTGCCTGCACCTCCAGGAACAACGTTTTCCTGACCGGATCATATCGCGTGATCCAGACAAATCCCAATTACGGACAGCGTTGCATTGCAATGAACCTTTCCGAGCCAGAAGTGCAGCGTACGCACGGGCCGGCCTGGGGTGGCGTTCAAATATCGACTCTTGCTGCCAACCATGGTGTTCTCATTGCCGGCGGCTTTCATGGCGAATATGGCATGAAGGCATCAAGTCGACCGGAGTCCAAGCACATCGAGGGACTTGTTGTAGATCATCCGAACTGCATAACAAATCACATCCAAATCAACCTCAATCGGCAGAGCGGTCTTCCCCAAGCCGTCATCGTTTCAAATGATAACGGAATCCGCACATTAGACTGCACCACCAATAAGTTCACAAGGTACCACCACTATGAACATCCCATCAACTGCTCAGCCCAGAGCCCGGACCACCGACTTCGAGTGCTTGTCGGAGACAGTTGCGATGTTATGATCTGCAATGCGGAAACAGGAGAAATTCTTCAGAAGCTCGAAGGGCATTGTGACTACGGATTTGCCTGCGACTGGGCGGATAACGGATGGCACGTCGCAACCGGACACCAGGACAAACTAGTCAAAATCTGGGATGCCAGGATGTGGAAAACAAGCCACGGAGAGGCTAATCCATTGGCAACAATTTCCTCAACAATGGCCGGCGTACGGAGCTTGAAATATTCCCCATTAGGGAGCGGAAAGAGGGTGCTGTTAGCATCGGAACCTGCAGACATCATCTCAGTCATCGATGCTGAGACATACGAGTCAAAGCAGACGCTCGATCTGTTTGGAGAAATTGCTGGCACCGCCTTCTCCCCAGATGGGCAAAGCATTTTTGTCGGCGTACACGACAACTCTAGAGGTGGGCTCATGGAGTTTGAGAAGTGCGGATTTGGTCGATCATACGAACATGAAAGCATTTTCCGGAAACGAGATCGCGAGGTTGACATGTATGATAGTGAGGAGGTCGATGAGGACATGGAAGATATGGCGGCCGGGCTAGACTGGAAGAGATCAATGGCGGATGTGGTTGCTAATCCCAAATCTAAACGCACCGCAACGCATCGACGGAGACGAGCAGCCAGACTGGGGGACCTAGAGGCTTACTGAACTGGAGTTATACATACGGGAGGCGACGCAAGGGAGAAGGCGCCGATCGTTACTGACAATAACGGTTTGGGCGATACGATTCTACGACACAATCATTTTTCGCGATATCACAATCATTTTAATCAAGGGCGCTTCAAGGGGATGATACCAGGGAAAGGCATGGACATATACGGGGTGGTGGTTGGTGAGGCTTAGCATTTTCCGGCGTTTTCAACAACTGGAGCACAATGGCCAAAGGAGCCCAAAGCATGGGCTACTTGCTATTGTTCTCTACATGGGATATTTTGATTCGACGGGGATAAAATAACTCACTTAAAATAATATCAATTTATGACGAGTAACTTTTCTACTATTTTGCTCTTGATATAGAAATTAAATGTCTTGCCTGATATGTTAGGTGTGATGTCGGCGGCGTCTTCCCGACGGGGTAGGATCACAAAGTATGGTCTAGTTGCACCCCGTTTTGCTTGTACACACCCGCATCGTGACCAAAGTCGCGCCCACTCTCCTTTTAGTGATTGTTCTTTCTTATTCATAGTCAATGCGTGCCTCTGCTCTTTCACTGGTCAATTTGACTGTTCGCAATTCGCTATATATACGGCCAGCTCTCCGGAGGTTCCCAATTCAACGGCGCGGCCTCACCAATAGCAACCTGCCCTATCGAGCTCTTTCCAAGACAACGTATGTAGACAGAAGCTAGCCCTGCTACTGCCCGGTACCCCGCGCCCACCCAACTAACAGAGGACAGGACAACATTACCTTCCAACCGGCCACAACTTTCAAATACCAGGAATATAATCAAAGCAACCTCGGCCAGACACTGCTCCTACCGACGTCACGAAATGTGCAAACTACACGGAGAAGCCGCTGTGGGAAGTGTTGTGGACGTTACACAGGGAAGAGAGATCTTGCCTGGGAATGTGATCCCAAGACATTACCATTTGACTCTCGAGCCAAACTTGAAGGACTTCACCTATGAGGGGCATGTCATTATCGACCTGGACGTCGTGGAGGACACCACCTCGGTCTCACTCAACACCCTGGAGCTGAATATCAAGAGCACAAAGGTGATCTCTGGGGACCAGACGATTACGTGAGGACCCCGCATTGTCTGTTTACTCTCTTTTGCACTGTAACTGACCATTCTGCCCTCTAGCTCGTCCCCCGAACTATCATACAATGAATCCACACAGACGACCAAGGTTGCGTTCAAAGAGGTCATCCCAGCTGGCAGCAAGGCACAGCTCGAGATGACCTTCACGGGCGAGCTTAACGACAAGATGGCTGGCTTTTATAGATCGTCATACAAGAATAAGGATGGATCGACTGGCATACTCGCAACCTCTCAAATGGAGCCCACGGATGCCAGGAGGGCCTTCCCATGTTTCGATGAGCCGGCGCTGAAGGCTGCCTTCACCATTACGCTTATTGCGGACAAGAACCTTACCTGCCTGAGCAACATGGATGTTGCCTCGGAGAAGGATATCACGTCGGAGGTTACCAAGACCACTAAGAAGGCTGTCACCTTCAACAAGTCGCCATTAATGTCCACATACCTGTTGGCCTTCATTGTTGGAGAGCTGAACTATATCGAGACCGACAAGTTCAGACTGCCAGTTCGTGTCTACGCTCCCCCTAACCAGGACATCGAGCACGGCCGATTCTCCCTGGAGCTGGCTGCCCGCACTCTGGAGTTCTACGAGAAGACCTTTGACAGCGAGTTCCCACTACCAAAGATGGATATGGTTGCCATTCCAGATTTCGCTGCTGGCGCTATGGAGAACTGGGGTCTCATCACCTACCGTGTCGTTGATGTGATGTTCGACGAGAAGACCAGCGGTGCTGCTACCAAGGAGCGTGTCGCCGAAGTTGTCCAGCACGAGCTTGCTCACCAGTGGTTCGGAAACTTGGTTACCATGGACTTCTGGGATGGACTGTGGCTCAACGAGGGATTCGCTACCTGGATGTCGTGGTACTCGTGCAACATCTTCTTCCCAGAGTGGAAGGTGTGGCAAGGATATGTTACCGACAACCTCCAAAGTGCCCTTGGCCTTGATTCGCTTCGCAGCAGTCATCCTATCGAGGTCCCTGTCAAGCGCGCCGACGAGGTTAACCAGATCTTCGATGCCATTTCGTACTCGAAGGGTTCTTGCGTTCTGCGCATGATTTCTACTTACCTCGGTGAGGACGTATTCATGGCGGGCATCAGACTTTACCTCAAAGAGCACGCCTATGGCAACACCCAAACTGGTGATTTGTGGGCTGCGTTGAGCACCGCCAGCGGCAAGGATGTCCGCAAGGTTATGGACATCTGGACTAAGAACGTTGGATACCCTGTCATCACCGTGACCGAGAATGACGACAAGAGCATTCACGTAAAGCAGAACCGCTTCCTTCGCACAGCCGATGTGAAGCCAGAGGAGGACCAAATTCTCTACCCTGTCTTCCTCAGCCTTCGCACCAAGGATGGCATTGATGAGACCCTCACCCTCACTGAGCGCGAGAAGTCTTTCCCCCTTGCCAACAACGATTTCTTCAAGCTTAACGCCGACCACACCAACATCTACCGCACATCTTACACGCCAGAGCGTCTTAAGAAGCTCGGCGAGGCTGCCAAGGGTGGTCTCCTGACTGTCGAGGACCGTGCTGGTATGATTGCAGATGCTGGTGCACTTGCGACTTCCGGATACCAGAAGACTTCTGGTGTCCTGAACTTGCTTAAGGGCTTTAACAGCGAGACCGAGTTTGTTGTGTGGAATGAAATCATCACGAGACTTGCTGCCATCCAAGGCGCATGGGTCTTCGAAGACCCGAAGGTCAAGGAGTCGATCGAAATCTTCACCAGAGAGCTCGTGAGCGAGAAGGCCCACAAGGCCGGCTGGGAATTCAAGGAGTCTGATGGTCACATTGAACAGCAGTTCAAGGCCATGCTCTTTGGTAGCGCTGGTCTTGCCGGCGACAAGGTTATCATTGACGCGGCAAAGGACATGTTTGCCAAGTTCTCCAAGGGTGACCACTCTGCCATCCACCCCAACATTCGTGGTAGCGTCTTCGCCATGGTCTTGAAATACGGCGGTGTCGCGGAGGTAAGCTTTCTAACCCCCATCCCAAACCAGTCCATAACTAACCAAAATAGTACGACACCATCCTGGGCGTCTACCGCAACTCGGTCAACACCGACGAGCGCAACACCGCCCTCCGCTCTCTCGGCCGCGCCAAGAACCCCGAGCTCATCCAGCGCTCCCTCGCCCTCTCCATCAGCGACGAGGTCAAGGAGCAGGACATCTACATGCCCATCAGCGCGCTTCGCACCCACCCCGACGGCATCAACGCGCTGTTCGAGTGGATGACGGTGAACTGGGACGAGCTTGCCCGCCGCCTCCCGGCAGGCCTCTCCATGCTCGGCTCCATGGTCTCGATCTGCACATCCAGCTTCACGAGCCTGGAGCAGAAGGCGAAGGTTGAGGCGTTCTTCGAGGAGAGGAGCACCAAGGGCTTTGCTATGGGATTGGCGCAGAGCTTGGACTCTATCCATGCTAAGAGCAGCTGGTTGGAGAGGGACCGCGAGGATGTCGCGAAGTGGGTTAAGGACAATGGGTATACCGCTCCTACGGTGAAAAGCGAGCTTTAAATTTGGGTAGGTCTTTGAAGGCCCCCCGTATAGGGGGGTCTTGGATGCGGCGTCAGGGTGAACTACTATAAGGAAGGTCACGTTTGGCATAGATGCGGTGGATTTCGCAAGCTATTTAAGCTAGTTAGTATTTATTTATAATGGGAATCTTCTCTCTGGGGATCAGGTGGATTAAAATATATCGTTTGAGTGGGGTTGAGATTGATAGCTGATAGCGCTCGGCCCTCGCCGGGACTGAGAAGACTACTGCTAGATTATTATGCCCATCCATTTGTTTAGCCCTTTTAACCCTCGACGAATTAAATCCCGACAGAAATTATTGTCATGCCCTAGCCATGACCAGTTCCCTTGCTCCAATTAACACCGTGCAAACGCCTCTAACGACGCATATCCGAGGAGCAACAGTTAATCCAGACGCGTAATCTTCAGGATATCGTGTCTGTGAAAGAAGCTCCTGTTTCGCTTCCCAAAGATGTCTAGAGGGGAGGAGAGGAGGGTTAGCTTTGAACTCGGCGCTGTGAGTTTGATGGGAGGACGGGGGGAACTTACACATTGGGACGCTGAGCAGGCAGACGACGACTTGCACGGTCGAGATGACCATAAACACATATCGCGTGTCGTTGGTGCTCACCCACTTGAAGGCCATGAATGTGAGCCCGAAACTGAAGAAATTCTTAAAGATGAGGAGGCACGTGAATGCCTCGATGGCGATGTTACCTAAGGCGATGCGTTAGCAAGCTCGTCGCCAGCGGTTGAGTGAATGACGGGTGTGAAAAAAAAGGGGGTACCTACGATGCGCATCAATGATATAAAGCGAGCTCGCCACCGCTCCCACCACCATCCCCATAACCTCCAAACAGTAAAAGAAAACCGCCCACGCCCAATGAAACCTCGTCAAATCCGTCGCCACGATCCCGAACCCGTATAGACCCGCACACCCAAACACCAGCTGCGGGATCACCAGCACGATCCTGAATTCCGGCTCATAAATCCCCCCATTGCGCCTTGTCATGAACTTGGCGCTCCAGTCCGCCAGCGCGCCTGCGATCAGGAAGCCGATTAAAGCCCCGATGAAGGGGCCCGTGTACGCGTACCCGCTCTCGACTTCGCCCCAGTAGTTGGGCGCGCCGAGGAAGATGGAGGCGACGAGGATGCCGATGAAGATGGTCCAGCCGATCAGGGTGCCTTGGATGAGGCAGGCCCAGAGGATGGCGGGGTGGAAGAAGAGGGGGAAGGGACGGAGGAGGATCTTGAAGAAGTTCTCGTCGGTGTAGGTCCCGTTGAAGGGCTTGAGGGATTGGATGTAGGTGCGCTTGGGGGTGTCGGCGCCGGGGTAGAGGTAGGGTGGTATGGCTGCTTCTGTTGAGGCGGGGGTGTCGTCGGATTTCTCGTTTTCGTTGCCGTTGGTGCCGCTGCCGCTACCGTCGCCATTCGTTGTGGTACGTTCTAGGCCGGAGTTGAGGGTCACATCTTGAGTGCTTTCACTGGCTGCTAGCATGTCTGTGTTTAGGCGCGGGTCGCGTCGGTATGCCGTCTCTGGGACAAAGAATATTATTCCTGGGAGGCACAGCGCGCAGAATATGGCTACGAAATTGAAAATCCACGGCACGCCCATGTTGTTTGAGATCTTACCCGCGAGGATGGGGGTGAAGAATGCACCGCCGAAGAGGGCAAAATTCATTAGTGCCATACGCTTGCCGCGTTCCTGTTACCATCGTTAGCTCAAGACACCCATTGGTTAGGGGAAGGAGTTGAGGTTCATACATGAACGAAATACAGATCTCCCACGATTGCGTTGATGAGAGCCTCGAAGGGCGCATTGGCAACGCCCTGAAAGATCCTGGCCCATAGCATACTCGTATAATTCAGCCCGGCGGCGCCAGCCCAGGCACTCGAGGCAACCAGCAGTATAGTCCCAAAGATTAGCAAGTGCCTCTTGCCCCATTTCCTCGCCGAGGGCACGAAGAAGGTTCCAGCGAACCCAACCCCCAACAGGAAATATCCTGTCAGGAGAGCCCCATCTGTGACTGTTCTTCCATATTTTTCTGAGATCGACAAGGTATTCGCAGCTAAGATGGGACCTAGTGCCGTTGCGAAGATTGCCGTCAGGGACAATACCAACATTATCACATCGCGTTTCCACAGCGGCCAATTCTGCGCTTATCATTAGCTTTGAAAGCTACCCCGCGGATTGTCCAAGCCATACCAGAGGATCATTCGGGTCATCGCTGGGTTGCGGAACGAGAATAATCGGATCTGCTCCACTTGTATCGCACTTGAGATGGGATACATCTTCTCGACCGGCTTCCTGCGGATGTGGCTTATCGAAATATCTAGTGGTGCCTTTACCGCATCATCAGTTCTAGATATCTATAGTGGAGGTGTAAATGCGCATACCCGGAACATGGTCCATCACCTTATCTTCCAGAATCCAGAGACCCATCTTGCCGCGTCTACACAAAAGCTTCCTTCCTCGAGTTTCTGTCGAAGAGCTGGTCGGGTATGGTGATCAAGGCGGTATCGGAGCATAAGGGAAAATAGGCAGAGAGCAGCGCCGACCGCCTGCGCACTGCGTCTCCTTTTGAAGCTGTGCGAAAGCCGTGTGATGAGATTGATCATCCGTCGGCCATCAAGGGCGGCGAAGACAGCTGTAGCACTGTTGAGGCATTGACGACTAACCGCTTCTGGACCGTGCTCACCTAAATGTCTGTCAAGTATTACATCGATTGGACCTTAACTCCGATGGGATCCCTTACCTCAGCCGATTTAGAAATAAGAGCGTTTATCAACATTTCTCAATGTCTCGATTGTTTACCTTACATCGACCTTACATTAGTGCTATGTTGGCTTTTCTAAGTTTCCCATCAGTGGCCGTTTTGTCACCTGTGTTACCGTACTACCCCAGGTTCCCCAGAGTTGCTAGAAGGTAGCGGCCGAGCCTTGTCACTTGTCACTGTAAGTAGTTTAGCGGCCAGCCTGTCAACATTCAAGGGAAAATCACGTCGCACCTTGCTTTATAAGAATCAAATACCCCTTAAAATATATATGTTGTAATCATATCCCCAATTATGCAGACCTACCCTTTCTCAGTAATTCATAGTGTATCACAGCAGCAAATGACAATGGTTGAGATGTAAGACTTCGGGGGGCCGAGACCACCGAATTTCGGGAGGGGATGTCGCACCCGTCCAATTATGGCCCAGCAAAAACAGTAAGACGACCTTACTGTACTGACTAGACCCTGCACCCCTCTGTTTAGCCGTGCCTGGATGGTCCCTCAATATCCAAATTGACCTCATCTCTTCAATTGAACGTCTCCAACTCCATCTCACCACTCTCCTGCGATCGCAACCTCTACCACTAAAACTCATACAGCTCACTAGCCACCTTCCAACATGCGCGCCTCCGCCGTCATCGCCCTCGCGGCACTCATCAGCGTCACCGCCGCAGCAGGCGGTGTTCCGGACTGTGCTGTAAGCCCCCCTTGCGCCAGCAGACAGACAAATACATTCTAACCTGTGGTCCCTCCCAGAAACCTTGCGTCACCCAGTTCACATCCGGCTCCAGCATCGCCGGCTGCAACAACCTCAACACGAACTGCATCTGCAGCAACAAAGACTTCCTCAGCAACATCGCCTGCTGCCTCATCGACAAATGCGACGAGGCCGGCCGCAACGCCGCCATCGCCTACGCGAAGTCCATCTGCGCCACCGCTGACCCGCCAGTCGAGGTTCCGTCCGAGGTCGTCTGCAACTCCTCCTCCTCCTCCAGCAAGGGGACGGCGGCAACGACGGGCGCCTCTACCACCGGCGGCTCTACGACTGGGGGAACTACGCAAGCTCCTACTACGGGGACTACCTCAACACCAACATCGGCGGCCCAGACTTCAAGCAGCTCAGGCGCCGCGATGGTGAATATGGGGAGCAGCGGGATGGGATTGGCTGGTGGCTTTGCGGCGGCTTTGGTGCTCCTGTAAACAGTGCTTCTGTAAATATGGAGGGGTGGTAATGCGGTGCACGCGGTGCACGCGGTCAAGTTCCTGTAGGACACCGTGTGACGTTCGGATGCGGGGTATTAGCGATTGTTTTGTGGTGGCTGCGATGTGAAGTTGTTTGTCTTCGTGGTTTACTATGTGGGATATTTAATAATAGTCCATGTGTGGTTAATATTCAAGTCGATAGCTTAAGCCGTCTTTAGTATTTATTCCAATGGCATGTTTCATCACCTGCGCCCGAAGAATGAAAAACCTGCTTGCTTCCACCAAGACTTTAGTAAATGAAGACGTGCACCGGAGAATGCCATGGTCGATGTTTCGAAACCACTAAGGCAGCATATGATACTTTCCAATCCGAACAGCGCCAAAAAAACGCGTCATAGGATGCCACAGACGATGTTTGAACCTAAAAAAGTAGCATGTGATACTTTCCAATTCAAACGTTGCCAGAAACGCGTCATGGTTGTTTGATGTTTCGAAACCACGCAAATAGCATGATGCTTTCTAATCCGAACGTCCACAGAAACGTGTTAGTTAGTGTCTTGGGCAACGCTTAGAAGCCACTCGGCGACATATGATAAAACCTCTCAACCCAAACGCCACCAATGAGGACCACCAATGAGAATCTAGGCCATCTCATAGATTCAAGAAACCAGTTTGATAGCAAATAATCTCATCCCAACCCAAACGCGGAGACGCGTCAGTAATAACTTGGTGTCACTCTCGTGCAACGCGTTATCCTCGAGCCCGTCACACCGTTGAAATAGCAACAAAGCTAAGCTCTCACGCCAGTGTCAGCGCCGAGGTCCCCCTCGCTTCAAGACCTACACACCGCAGCATTCCGATCAACTCGCACAACCTCCTGCAGTCCTGGCACCCCGTCTCACACCGCCCGCCCCCATTGCACAGCCCCGATGTCGTGCCTACCAACCAAGCACACGGCCAGCCGCAAGCAACTGCTATTCTGGCCATGCCACGGCCGATCACGCATCGCCGACAGCTTGTCATGCTCCGGTAAGCGCTATCGTCGCTGGCAATATAGCCTTTCTGGCCCGTCATGCAGCAATGGTGGGGCAATGAGGGTCTCTGCAATAGAGAGGGTAGGGATGGAGGGGTCAGGCATACGCAGGCGCATACGTAGAGTGGGAGAGATTGATTCCGCCGCTTCGGGCGCTTGATCGTCGTCGTTGCAGCGGTGGTGGTGGGAGGGTATGTCAGGGCTTTATCAAGGTCCCTACGCGAGGCAATGCAGCCGCGGCTGACGGATCACTGACTGGGCGCCATGCTATAATATGATATGATGATGGCATGCAGGGACTCCATGCGGCCGTCTCCCAAAGCGTGTCGGCGGCGGTGGGAAGCGGCAACATGCCTGCTGCGGGATGGTTATATGCCAGCGGTGTTATCGGCCTGATGCTCGTGGTTCTGGGGGCGGGAGGGACAGAGCTGGACGGGATCGGCTTTTGGGTAATTGATTTGATGAGACCCTGCGAAGTACTATCCTCGGGAGGGACGGAGCTGGACGGACCGGCTTTTGGGTAATTGATTTGATGAGACCCTGCGAAGCATCATCCCCGGTAGTAAATTTCGGCAGAGCGGGCGGATGATGTAGATGGACGTCGCTGCGTTTTCACTTTTCGCTTTTCACGCTATGTATACACTTGCCGTGCGTGGATCTGCACTGCGATTCTTGGACTGGGCTGTTATTGCATGCTCGGTGGTGGATAGGGGCAATATAAATTCGGCACATCATGATATGTCTGCTGTCTATCGTATTGTGGTATTATTGTATGTATTGCTGTAATTGTACTATAGCTGTACTATAACCGTGCTATAACAACGGTGATGTCCGGGGATTGGCATCAGTGCCATCAGTGCGAAAGTAGGTAGAGTGGAGGTGAGAGTGAGAAGAGTCCCGAAGAGCACTGTGGGTGTCTCTACATACTGCACTTGTACCATAATGTTCTCCCAGCTAAAGTGGATTGGGTGAAAGTTGCGTCAGAGCGGCAACGTGATAGAGGACGCTTTGGCCAACGGTACGTTCGGGTACATACTTGAAACGATACTACTATGCTTTGAGAGACTCGCTTTGGCCTTTTTGTGAGCACTTCGACGCAATCTGAGCAAATATCTAATCTGAGCAATCTGAGCAATCTGAGCAATCCGAGCCAAACTTCGGAGAGCAGTGTCTGGGCACTCTCTCCATCATTTTATCGTGGCGGCGGATTATCTTCGGGTCACAAATTCTTTGGTAAGCTGCTGAGCTCATACTCCATGGAGTAAGGACGGGAAACGGGAAGTTAAAGCAAAGATCGGTAAGTATAACACCGAAGGGAACCGCCACAACCTCCCTCTTGTGGCCTTGGTATCTGGAAAAGTGCCACTATTCATGATGCTAACTGCTAACTAGAGGCATATAGCTGAGAAGATCTCACACCGTCGCCCTCTCGTCGTCCAGTTACCAGTATAGCTTCCCTAAGACCGGGACGAGAGCGTTGCTAGCGCTGAGGTGGTCCGGCCAAGACTCAACGTGGTTTGGGGTCTACTGTAGGTCCACTGTCAGTGCCCCGACGCTCGTACCGTGTAGCGTGCAGGAGTACGAAGTACATTCATTTGCCTTCGATCCGTCAACCTCCGAGCACGGCCATTGGGAGAGCAGCAAGCAGCTAAGCAAAGGGCCACCCGCGAAGGGAAAATGCAGACGCGTTGGCCGATGCCAATACTCCGTAATGCCTAAATGAGGCAGGCAAAGACGGGCTGTGAGAGGGGGGGAAAGGGTATGCACGACTCGTGCACTGCAAATGACAACTCGGACCCCCACATATCACTATCACAGAGGTCCCGGACATCACTACTCAACTACCAAGAAACTGCTAACTTCCTTACTCCCGGCACCAGCCATTTCTGTGAGCATTCTGTACATTCTGTACATTCCGTGCATTCTGTGCGTACGGTGAATTGTGTGCATACTGTGCATACAGTATACCGCGCATTTGGGTGGCGAAAGAACGTTTGTCGAAAGAAAGGATAGATCATGGCGCAAATGGTGAGCTCGAACATGAAACCCCCAATCGCAACTAAAGCCTATCCGTCGGCATGCCACGCGCCACCCCTGTTCCCCCAAGCCGGTCGAGTTCTTTGCCTGCCTTAGTTAGGGCACAGGTGGATAGTGAGTAAGGTACGAGATCTCGTACAGCGCTCCGCACTGTTGGTACTGAATTGTGCGGTACTGGACGGGGATGCTGCAGCCGTACTTTTTGCTGGCTGTGCTGTGATATATTAAAGACTGTGATATACCATACTCCCTACATACAGGTAGTATCCCATTGTGCAGATGCAGGCGCAGGCGCATGTATGTCTATCGGCCTGTATGCAAGCAAGATGCACGCTGCAGCCCACGTACTTTGGCACTTTACTATCCCGTACCTGCCTGACCTTGCCCCTCGAGCTCAAGATCGGTACACTTCCAGGTATAAAACATCTGCGGAGTCAGCAAACCCTAACCTTGAAGTGTCGACGACTTTCCAAGCAGGAGAGTGAGGCTAAGAGGAAGGGCCAGTAATGTTGTAGATGCATCATTCAGCCCACCAAACCCACCTACCACCCATGGTAAGTAAGTACTGTACTCCGTATGTAAGTCTATGGACATAATGGACATAGCTCAAAACAAGTATCACACGTGGTACTATGCCGCCTACTAGATCTTCCGCATCAAATGGGGTTCAATGCTCATGGTCTGGTCTGGGCATTGTTCCTTCCCAATTACTCTCTAGCAGTACTCTCTAGGAGAATTGCGACTTGTCACCTGGTTCCCACTCAGCCTACACTGCCACGGTCCGCACTTGCCCACACTTGTCCCCGTGCTCTTGCCTATAATTTCTTTATATTATAAAGGACTATGAAGGACTGTGAACGGCGCTCCCCAAGCTCAATTGAGCTGCACATCACCTTCCACATACACACTAGATGCCCGTTATTCGCCCACGCTAACGGGTTCACCGTTGTATTTTGAAACTCCAATCGAGGTGATAAAATACTGTTTTCAACCAACTATCAACCAACTATCAACCACTTGACCCTATGAAGACCAACAGCAGAGTAGTAAGTTTGGCCACCACCAACTGTATACCACACACCGCACTCCGCACTCCTCTCCCCCTCCCATCCTCTCATCCTCTCACCCCTCACACCCCCCCCCCCCTCACACACCCCTTCCCCAAAACCTCCCCAGTTTCCAGTTTCCTCCCACCCTTGCCCCCCCACCAACCACACCGCACAGGTAGGGTGCTATGGTGCTTTGACGTTCACCGACCACCAAAAAAATGTGCTCTCCTCCACAACCGTCCACAACCCACCTCCAACGTCCGGGATGGTCCATCAACCCCACCACACAATCCTCGCACGCACGCTGACGACACCGCTTCTCCCCTTGCCCTCGGGTCCTTGTAAAGACTTCCCTTCCCTTAACCCCCCGGGTATAATACAAAATGATTGCTTCGCATAAGTTCCAGGGTTCCTCCTCCCTCGTGCCGTACTACGCTGGTGCGGATCCCTCCAGCATCACCAAAAGCAGCTGCACACAGGGCGCTTTCCGCACAGCTCATCTTGCATCTGCTCCCTCGCCCTGAGCCTGGTAATTGGGAAAAATAAAATAAAACGAGTGTCTCGTCTCGGCCCGCAACACCTCGCAGCAGAGACACACAGAGAGAAAGCTCATCCTCTCATCCTCTCATCCCGCGTTAATACCTGCTGTTCATCGTCGTCATCCATGAGCATCCCAGGTCCCCTGACAATACATCCTGCCCTGTCAAGGTCGAGCATGCACATCTGCCGACAGTGCCTATAGCTGCCCCCACCGCGTTAAGCATCCCACCTTGCCACGAGGCCGAGAGATACGGCCGCCCCTCCCTGGGCGAACAGAGGTGATCTCATACCCGACTGGGCTGTGGCCGCGCGCACCTCTTTGGGACAAATTGCCGCCGGAAATTCTTCTCGCGGTGGTGGTGGGGATTCATGTCCCGTCAGCGCTGCTCGAGTTACACGTTCCGCACTTGCTATATAAAGACTGCTCCTATAGATGCTTATGTGCTGCGGACTATTTCGCTGCGGTTCACTGGAGGGTCTTTGCTCTTGATATAAAGGAATGCTTGTCACCACCCGTCGCCGTCTCCATCGATAACTGCGAGGCTGCATCTCTATCACAATCTCCGCCTTCATTCGACTCTATTCTTCCGCTGCCGGCTCAAATGTAAGTCTCACCCCATACTCTGATTCATTCTCACAAGCTAATATATATCTGCAGAAACAAAAACTCACAATTCGCAACTCTCACACGATGTGCGAATACACAAAAAACTACTATATCTATACGTCCTGTCAGGACCCAGGCGCACACTTCTTCGGCACCTCGGTCGATGGCAAGAAGACGCAAGCATGCCCTCGCGGGCCCCATGAACGATACATTGTCGTTCCGGGCCACTGCCCGCTCTGCTCATGACCACACGGCCCCGCTTCCATGATATCAAAACGAAGCTATATATACATTTTTCACGACAGAGAGAGAGGCGGGCTAATGGCATAACGACGAGAAACATAACAACATGGGAAATTTGAGAATCTGATGCATCTCAGCTGAGGCGTGGTATCATAATATTTTACAGGACGGTTGCTTTCGGGAAGGAGTTTCATGGTTTTCGTTGCGTTTGGCCTTTTCGACGATCTGCGAGCGATGATGCCACGCCAAGTGTGTCGGTATGCAGATACCCAAGGGAGGGGGTGTATCCACCCTCAATGCAACAGCCCGCCCCGCGGCCCGTTCCAGGGATCGTTTTTGTTTTTGGAGTAAGCGGACGGGAACAGAATGACTGGGGTTATCTTTTGAGCAGGTTCTGTGCGTGGTGCGATGCGGAGCCGGAAGGAGTGAATATACCATTGTAGCTAGGGACATGCATATTTTTCATGGGATAGAGGACTTAATTTTTCACTTTGCTCAGGTGCATACGGGAAGCACCGGCGTCAGGGAGCTTGTGCGGATATGAGCCGCTTTCAACTTAGCCAGCTGAGGCATTAGCTCCTTAGGCTCGAACAGATATACGAATATCCATTGACTCTTAAGAATGCTGCAGTAGCTCAACTTCCATATTGTGACCAAAAAACAAGTTTTGCATTGGAACCCCGCCATTAACGGCGAAGGGATCACTCTGCTTCCCTGGCTTTTATAGCCCCAGCCGGCGAGCCTTGTGCGGGGTCCCGTCCGGAAGCTCGCCGTTGCATGTACCATGCTGTGCGCGTACCTACAGTCGGTCAATGCAACTCATCCAAGACATGGCATCGGCGTTTTGTGACCTATAGGGATGAGCAATATAGTCAGAGGCACCGGCGTACTAGCCAGTGTTTGCAATACCAGTTGCAGCTAAGCAACCCTCACGACGTTGGAGTCCGTCCCGGCCACTGCACCTTGCTGCAAGCGGGAATCGATTATCTGCAGGTCGCTGGAAAGGGATATTTGGGGTCCGCTGGGCCCAGCATTAGCTCAGTGCGGCGGGTGAAATGAGGGAATGGTAGAGCGGAGAAACCGATAGCATCTCTGCCCGCTAGCCCCGCCGCTGGCTTCGGTGCACTCCTTGTTCTCTGCCATGTTGCCACACAACTAATCTTGAAGCACCCACAGCGAATCGATGATTCCAGCTGAGTTGTGGGCTGCAGCATATGCTACCTTGCTGGTTGCTTCGAATGCATCCCGCCAGGAAGAGCTCATAAAGTGACGTATTCACGGTTAAAGTCCGGCAGGGGCCATATCAGTTGGTACCACCTATCTCATGGCGCCACTATGATTGTTGGGCCACAAATAGAAGGGTAATAGGCCGGGATAATCTGGGAAAGATAAAAGGCTCGCGCAACAAGTACATGCCAGGTGATAATACCGATCCGTGCCTCTTACGAGGGCAGCTGACATCCTGCCGCTTCACGCGCCGTGAGGTCGGTGCTGTCCCAGACTTCAGACTGCACGATCCTTCTGGGTGCCACCCCCACTAGACATGGCCATAGGTGCTGCGAGATCCCTTGAATGGGGCCACTGCGACCACTAACGGGTCCTGACGACAACTGTGTGTGTCCTAGCCTTCCTTGGTGGCAATAGCCGGAAACGCAGCTCCAAGTAGCTGGCCTAGAATACAATGAGACGCACTCTTCAAAACGCGCGTTGATACATGAGGCACCAACTAAATCCTTTTCTTTCGTTCTCCACACCTCCGCAGTAGCAGTTTTTGGGGTAAGTTTGATCGGCGACACCACGAGTAATGATGCACGAGAAACGAACACGGCAGTTGAAAACTATAGGGACTACCATAGCAAGTAGCGGAAACAGCAGCCGGTGCGCAGAGGCAACTGGTTGGCGCATTGGGCCCGGCAACTGGATGAATGAAATGGCGTGGTGATGAAATCCACAGCAATAAACCAACTGCATGACAGTCCGTGTGGCTGAGACGTGACAGGAAACCGCGGCAATAGGAGATTGGAGGAGTGTGATAACTAGTGATGAAAAGGTACTCACCCCCTGCACTTGTCAGGTATACTTGTGCTAGCTTGGAAAGACGAATCAATGCCTCAACTCTAGAAAGTGATATGAGACGGATTGATCAAACGCGTCGCAAGATCTGTTCGTGGTGGTTGGATATAGGTATATGTATGGATCACGTGGGGCAAATGAGATGCAGGCCCACTTCCCCACACAGCGATTATCATTATCGGCCTCTGTTGACCCGGCACTCGCCCAATGCGAGTTCGGCGAATGGCAATGCGGCTAAGCTCTGGCCGCCCGCTTCTCGACAGTTGGGGTTTCTGCCATTGCTTCTCTTGCAAGATATATTTCAAGTTCAAAATATATATACATATAGACTTATCTCTCTCCTAATCTTTCTCTTACTTACCTAAGAAGAAGATGGCAAAGGTGTTCGATGCCGCAGAAGGTCAGTCATCTTAGAACGCCGCGTACCCCCGAGCCCCAGACTGACAGTTCTTACCCCAGTTGCGAAGCATAACACCGCAGAAAGCTGCTGGGTAATTCTATATGGCGACGTCTATGATGTGACCGGATTTCTTCCGGAACATCCTGGCGGATCAAATGTCATTCTGAAGCTTGGAGGCCGAGATGCGACTGAGGAGTTCGATCCAATCCACCCTTCAGGTACCTTGGCCGAACTCGACCCGTCGTGCAAACTGGGCCGAGTCGACCCTGCGACGCTCGTTGCACCAGCAGTGGAAGAGGCAAGTGCGAAGAGGGAACAAGAAGGGCCTATAGATGTCCAAACACTACTCAACCTCGACGAGTTCGAAGAGGTCGCAACGAAGAAGATCTCACAGAAGGCATGGGCATACTACTACTCGGCTTCCGACGACCTTTTCTCCAAGTCTTTCAACAATCAAGTATACAGACAGATCCTTCTCCGACCGCGAGTCTTTGTCGACTGCACAAACTGCGACACATCTACCACAATTCTAGGCCACAAGGTTGGCCTGCCCCTTTTTGTCGCCCCGGCGGCTATGGCTCGGCTGGCCCACCCGGATGGTGAACACGGCATTGCGCAAGGAGTATCTTCCTTCGGAGCACTACAAATTATCTCTAATAATGCCTCCCAAAAGCCAGAGGAGATTGTCGCCAACAGTGCACCAGGACAGATTTTTGGGTGGCAAATATACATACAAAACGACCGGAAAAAGAGCATTGCCATGCTAAAGCGCATCAATGCATTGCCGAGTATCAAATTTATCGTTTTGACACTCGATGCCCCAGTCCCCGGGAAGCGCGAGCACGACGAGAGAGTCGGGTCGCTTGGCAAGGGTCTCGATGCGATATCCGATGGCACAGGAGAGAAGCGGGAATCGAAGGGAGGCGTTGGGAAAACCCTTTTCTTTGGCACCGCCACGGACCTGACCTGGAAGACTACCCTTGGTTGGCTCAAGGAGCACACCGATCTTCCCATCGTGCTGAAGGGCGTTCAGACTCACGAAGATGCATACCTGGCGATGCAGTTTGCACCACAACTGAAGGCTATTATTTTGTCAAACCACGGAGGACGAGCTCTAGATACAGCACCCCCGGCCGTGCATACGCTCCTTGAGATTCGCAAATACTGCCCTGAGGTATTTGGCCGCATCGAAGTCTGGGTGGATGGCGGTATCAAGCGCGGGACAGACGTGGTAAAAGCGTTGTGTCTTGGCGCGAAAGCCGTCGGTGTTGGGCGAGCGGCGCTGTTTGGACTTGGTGCTGGGGGTAAGGAGGGTGTGGAGCGCACATTTGAGATTCTGAAGGGAGAGATTGAGACTTGCATGAAACTGCTCGGTGCGGACAAGGTGAGCGACCTTGGACCGAAGTATATCAATTCGAGAGCCGTGGAACGGGATATTTATGACGGCCACGCTGGGCTGGAGAAGGTGGGATTGTGGGTCAGCGCAAAACTATAAGCAAACATATTAGATTCTTGGATATAGTTCCTTCAGGCTTTTCGCTATAAATCTATATGCCTACCCCTGTCGGGAACCTACAGTATCGCCATCTTGCACAAATATTATACTACAAATGCCCATAATATTCTACACTAGATGTCCTCTATAACTTCGTCTTTCTCCCCGACTTCACTCCCTTAGGAACCTCACCGGTCAAGACATTGCGAGGATAGGACATGTCGCCGCCGAGTCCGTTCATGGGCATCCTCCAGCTCCCTCCATCAACAACCAGCAGGTCGCCATTAACAAAGTTTCCAGCATCACTAAACAAATACACGGTGGCATCGGCAATTTCCTTCACCAGGCCATAGCGTCCCAGAGGGACACTAGCTTTGGAAGCCTCCATGCCTTCTGCGCCAACCAGCCTTTCCATTCCTTCAGTACCACCGATAGGCCCTGGGGCGATGATGTTGCTGGTGATACCTCTTGGTCCGAATTCAATGGCCGCATTCGCTGAAAGAGCGTCAATCGCGGCCTTGGCGGCTGCGACGTGGGTCTGGAATGGTGTTCCGGCGTAATGTAGAGTCGCCGAGACGAATATTATACGACCACCAGTGTTGGGGTTCTTGCCATCGTTCTTGTTCGCTGCGGCGGATTCAAGGAGGTATGGGAGGGTGGCCTTCAGGGTGTTGAAGGAGCCGACGACGTCGATCTCCATGACTGTCCTGAAAGCATTGGTGGAAAGGCCAGTGATGGGGGCCAGGAAATTGCCTGCTGCGCCGGCACTATATTATAAAATGTCAGCGGCGTCAGGTGAAGTTGTCGCGGGTGAGATTATTCTTACATAACATAATCAATACCGCCGAGCTCCTTGACGGTCTGCTCCGCCGCCTTTGTCAGGCTCTCAAAGCTGCGAACGTCCACCCCTCCAAGACCGATGACCTTCGATCCCTTACGCGCCGTCTCGATATCCTTTGCCATTGCCGCGGTCTTCTCGACATTGCGGCCGATGATGGCGGCGTTCGCTCCCAGGTGAACGAGGGCTCTAACTTGAGCAGAGCAGATCGTGCCTGCGCCGCCGGTGCAGAAGACAACCTTTCCGGCTGTTATGGGTCAGCTATTATCTCGAAATCCCCGGATACTGCCATACCGAAAATGCCATCCCTCCAGACGTTCGAGACATACTCGCTCTTCGGTAAAGGCATTATGACGGTGGGTTGTTGATTACGGGAGATGCGACAACAAAGTTTTGAATATGGGCAAAAGACTCGAATTATGGAAAGCGCGGGGATAATTAAATATACATGGAGCCAGCTCAAACTTTATATCAACGATGTTCTACTCCGGGTAGATCATACGCCCGTAACATGTGTGTGGGGTTCGGCGCTGGGCCAGACACCAAAAGTAATCAAAGCCGTCGTCATATACCTCGGCGTTGCCTTGTAACCAAGGCAAAAGGATGGGCCAATCATGCAACCCTGGGGAGTCAGCGACGTCAAAGGCCAAGACAGTCTCCACAACCACACCAATACGGAGTACTGAGCCGCCATTTGGAACTCAAGCTCTCCGTGCATATCAACTTCGGAAATCACGGCTGGCTTTTGCCCATAATCTCCAAAATGTATACTCGTCCTGGTGTACCGCCGTTCAAGCTCATCGGATCCATTTCCTTGGGCCTCCTGACCGTGAGTGACTCCAGTGACTTCCTTCCCCGCGTCTATCCCACCATCGCCTTCTCTTTATCAAGAAGCTTCAGTGGAAGTTATTTGGCCATTGCTGATAGATTTATATATAGGGAGTCTCATATACCTTGAATGCCATAGCTGTACCAGCGCTCCTGACGCTACCCTCCTCCGCAACCGCATCGACCGCCTTCACCCTTCTTAATACCCGCGCCGTCCAAACTCTCCGTGTATTCACTGGGTTATCAACTGTCTGCTTCCTCTCTGCATACGCCCTGTCTCCTCGCGGCTTCCGCCACCCATATCTCCTCTGGAGCACACTCATTGTTGCGGCAAGCGGCTCCGTCGACCTATTTCTCCAGCCCGCTCGCGCATCCTCGTCTCCGGCGCTTAAGGAACGGGTCAGGAAGGACAAGGGAAAGGCTAAGCTGGATGCCAGCTATGAGTTGCTTGGCGACAGCAATAGTGATGCAGGGATTAGCGATGAAGGCAGCGAGGAAGATGTGAATGGCGAGGACGTGAGGGCTGAAATGCTGGGCTTCAAGTCGCTACAGGCTCTTAGGTTCTACCTTTCTGGTGCAGGATTTGTGGTGAGCTTGATTGGCTTGTGGGGCGATGGCGCCTGGTGAAGGGGCCGTTGGTAGTGATGATATTATGATGGAAATCGAAGGGTGGGCAGGTGTTTCATAGGCGAATCGGAAAGTCGCAACTTTATATAAGAAAAATAAAACATGGAATTCTTCTCTACGTGAGCAGTCTGGCATATTGAGTAACTCTTCTACTCGCTCTTCTTCTTCTTTGCCTGTAGCCCTTCATTCATCGCTGACGCAACATCCTCCACAGTCCTTCCTCTCTTCCTATAGCCCGTCTTCTCTTGTCCTAGCACGGTGTCATTCGACATTGTCTTGTAAACCCCTGCTACGCCCAGGAACAAGTCTTTTTCAAAGCCTGCTTCTTCCGAGAATGTGGCGGCAATCTCCTCCATTTCTGCAACCCAACGATACGCCTTTGGAGGCACTCTAGGAACAGAGTTTTCAGCAGCATGGAGAGTTGCAGGAGATATCTCTCCCAACAATGTCTTTAGCTCGTCAAGCACGCCAAGTTGCTGAGCGGTAGTGAAAGATTGAGTGAGTATCCCAGAGAACCCCTTCATTGTGCTTGCAAAACACATCTTCAGGCCCGAAGCCTGGCCAATATCATCGGAGATGTGTCTAATGTTCAAGGTTTCGGCAAGATGCTGGCCTGACTTTGGTGATTCGGCTACCTTATAAGGCCCGGACGTCGGGATCTTTGGTTTATACCAGCTTGAATTTCCAGAGCCGTCAGTGGGTGCATCTTTGAGTGACGGAGGTCCACCGAAAATACCACCGTCAACAGGGATAGCAACGTTGGGATCTCGAAACAGATTTAAGATGGTTCTTGCGCTCCGCGGAGACACGGCATTGAGGTCCAGATAGTACAATGGTGTTGAACGTATGCCTTTATGGAACTGTAGGACATCGGCAACCCGCTGAGCCGTGGCCAGAGCATCTCGTGGAGGTACAATGGACAGGATGTAGTCGGCCTCTCGGACAACGTCTTCATCGGTTGACAAGGTCTCTATTTTGCCCTCCTCTGCCCTCTCTTGAGTGTATTTGCTGGAAATAATATCAGTAAATGATGCCGGGGACTTATTGTTTGGAAACCTCATTATGGGCCATACCTTCGACCTGTGATGTTGGTAACAACGCGGTAGTTATGGGCTATTAACAACTTGGCAACCCCCAGGCCCATCTCGCCAATTGACAAAACGCCCACAGTTGCAAGTGTTGAAGAGGCCATTATGGAAAAAATTCTGAGGCACAGTAGAAGTAAAGGAGAGATATAATATTGTGACTTCAACCGTTATCACTTCGTGGGAAGCAGGACTGGCCAGAGGAATAGCCGGTTCATATAGTAGAATCAAATCGATGGATTATAATTCGCTATCTAATCATTCGAGTCGGGGCACTTTATGTATTTAAAATGTCTGGCCTGCGAGCTCCAAGCTGAGATAAGACCTGTTGTTCCCATTACAGAGCGATATTCGGAGGACGGCAATGGCGAATATTATGTCACGTGGCGGTGACGTGCGAATAGACAAATAGTCAACACGGAGTATATCTGGTTAAACACTCCCTAAACTTATCTAAAATCAACGCTATGAGGTTTCTTCGACTTAATTGTCCAGATATGGGTCTAGAGCGTCACGCTGGGGGGTCCTTGATGTGACGGATTGCCCTCCCATTGATAACATGGAAGCCGGTGACTGACCCTTGTATGTGGGAGCAAGACAAAAACAAACGGGGAATCTTAGCCATATACTATACAGTTATACCAGGATTAAATAGCTGTGACGATGATAGGGAATATACTAGATTATCCTGGAGATTGGAAGTCGGTTCTCTCAACAGTCAGGAACATCAGCACCAAGCAAAAGGGCAAGCAGTGATTTTTAAAGAACTCCATTGTCATTACATGGCGACACCACTTATCTCATACAGACAGCGTCCATTTCCTAACATTCCACCACTCAAAATCACTACCTGGAGGTTCTTTCATTTTCTGGTTCCTGTGTGTCTTATTTGGAGGACCGCCCCTCACGCATCAGGGAATAATACGCAGCCTCCACGACTGCATCAACCTTGCGTTCCTTCTCCAAGGCCGACCTCTGGGTTTCAGTGAGCTGAGTTGTCCTCTCAGCAAGATAGGGCCTGTCGTAAGTTTGCTTGCCCGTTGAGGTAGAAGCGCCTACAGCTTCATCACTTTCGAATACTCTTGCCAGGCTGTCCCGAAAAGGGAGCCTCGTGTCTGCCTGAGTGCCCTTGGAAGCATACTCCGTATCAGCAGGAATTCCCCTCACATCGGCCCGCATGCTCATGAAGGTATGGGCATTGTTCAGAGCTTCGCCGTTTTTGAGTTCTTTTGCCAGGGATTTGCTTACAGGTGCCGAGGTTTCGTTTTCATCGGGGAAGCCCCTTGCATCGGTTCGCATGGTCATCAAGATACAGGCAGCATCCAGGACTTCGTCAATGTTCGTCTTTCTCACCAGAGCCAGCCTTTTCTTGTCATTGAGAAGATCCAAGTGGCGGTCGATAAGAGATATCTCCGCTGTGATGTCTTTTTTGTTCTCTTTGATCTCGTTGGCCCAGGGGTTTGGGAGTGGTCTCTTTGAGTTGAACTTCTTGCCAATTATGCCGTAAGGACCAGGGAAGAAGTCTGAGATCCTCCTAGGATCGTGGTCCTCGTTGTCACTAGAGGTCCATTCCGCCTCCGTTGCGTCGTTGTCATTCGCCTCTTGAAGGTTGGAAATAAATCTCTGGAACCTCGGTCCATAATCGTCCTTGTGACTGGGGATAATCAAGGGGAACTGTGCTTCAGTGCGATTCTTTTTGGCATTTTCCACTCTGGTGTTTTTCTTGGCCGCAGGTGCTGGCTTCCCTTGGTTTGGTTGTTGATATGTGGCTGCAGTCTTTTGCCTCTTGGGCGCGGGTGCTGCCTTGGCCGGAATCTCATCCGCAACAAAGGCCTCCTTTGTTCCCTTGTGGGCATCCTTGAGTTCTCTGTGGTGGGTCCTGCATGACGGGATGTCCGAGGCTGAAGTCAATCTTGGTTGAGCAGCGCTTCCAGGCTTGTGGTTGGCGACGTGGTTGGCGACGAGGTTGGCGATTTGTTCTTGCGCTTTATTCTGCGCCTTGAAGGTGGAATTTGCCTGGGCACCATAGTCTGTCCAGTCCATATCATTGCTCTTGACGTGGACTCCATCACCACCCAGCATGCACCCATAACAGAACTGAGAAGTGCATGTCACGCAGCGCTGGAGAACCGAATCGTTTCGTTTTTCGCAGATATCACACTTGGCTGTGTGTATATACACAGGTACAAACTCCATGTGTGCCTCTTCGTTCATGGCAACTGGTTTGCCACGGGTAGCTTGTGAAGGCCCATTTCCTCGAGCCATCAAAAAGGACGCGGAGGCTTTGAAGCCTAAGTTTGGCGGCAAAGGAGTCGCTGGACGTTTTTTTCCTGCCATCTTGCAAAAATGAGGTGAGCAAGTGCTGTTGTTGTTACTGTACGGAAAGGCGAGCCTTGCTCGTCCTGAAGGGATGTGGTGTATTGACGTGAGTCCTGGTGTGTTATAGGAAGAAAGACCTTATCCAATCTTTGAAGCAAGCTGCCGATGCTCCGAAATGTGAAGCTGCAGACGTTCAAAGCCTCAGAAGCAAGTTGTTGAGGCTGTCGAAGCTTCCAAGTGTGCGGGCGTTGATATTCACACTGTCGGAAGCAAGATGTTGTAGCTTCGAGGTGTGTAGTCACGGACGTTTACAATCTCAGAAGCAAGTTGTTGTAGCTTCGGGTGTGAAGTTGCGGACGTCTACACCTTTGGAAGTAAGCTGGTTTCCAAGTGCCGAACTGTGGCGTTCACACCTGAACAAGCAAGTTGATGCAGCTTCTAAGTGTGAAGTTGTTGAGGTTGACACTCTCGGAAGCAAGTTTGTTGTAGCTTCCAAGTGTGTAGCGGGGGACGTTCACTTATATGATAGTTGCTACGCCGATGGATTTTATCCTTACCCAGGGCGGCTTTGCTACCTACTATCAATAGAGCGTCTCATCAAAGGACAGGTAAACATACCTCCTGGAACGTTTAGTTTCGAATCTCTCAGTTTTGATTGCACACGGAATGTTGACGTGTAGAAGAATGCTTCTGTTGATGTTATGAGAGAAACGCAGAGGAAGCTCCTCACGTTTTCTGTTCTATTTATCCTTGGGTAGTTAAGCAAATGCCTGAATCAGCGTTTACCCCTACAGTGAGAATTCGAAATGTCTTGATAGAGTGAGTAGACGCCTGAATCAGACTTCAATCCCAAGGCGGAGACTCATTGTATTATGAGCGAGAATTGGAACCGTTTATCATACCAAATAGTTATTCTTCTCTTGCTTGAAACCGCCCCCAATTGCTTCCGGCAGTAGCTTTTATCATCTCATGGTACAGGCAATGCTTTACGGTAGAATATTATTGCAAGCTATTGACTTATGACTTATAGAGTTAAACCGTTGGGGGCCCGCCGCCGTCAAGATAGTATCGGCGGCATACAGCATAAAGAGGCCAAATACAAAGGTGTAATGTTGTGATTAATAGATATTAAATCGAGCCCCATACAATAATCCCTCAACTAACTTTATAATATTAAACGATACCTGAATCATTTCGTATGCTTTACGTTGCCTGGTATCCGTTGGAATCATTGAATACAATATGTACTAGCAAGTAATGCTGTTAGCGTATTTTCTTTGAACCACATACATTCATTGTTATTCGAATTACACTATGCTACATTATAGTCAATGTAAAATGCCACAATATCAGGTTATTTTGATGAACAACTTGAACGCCATTCTACAGTTATTTGCCTAATCCAAACCCACGAGCTACCTCTGACTACCAGACAAACCTCCGAGTAGAAACGGATTCAGCATAACTTGGAGTGATAACAACCAACACACCGACCAGAATTCACAGTTACAAAGGATCTATTCTGCCATTTCAATATCTCCCACAGCGTCGTTGGAAGCAGCTGGCGCAGCAGCCCCAGATGGCTTGTCAGCGCCATTCTCCTTGGCTCCGCCTCCCCAGTAGTCTTCCATCTCAGCATCGAGCTCCTCCTGAGTCTTCTTAGGACGGCGTGCTGACCTCCCGCCAGCCTCACGGCGGCTGTCTCCTCTCTCAGAACGGTCTCCCCTTTCCCTTCTGGCTCCGGGTGGGCGGCCATCGCGACGGCGTGGCATGGGGCTGCGAGATGAACGGTCGCGTCCAGGGACATATCTGTCAACATTTGGTGGAGGAGGGCCGCTGACATCAGAGTGGCGGACCGGCGAATAAGAGCGGTCGCGCGAGCCAGCCGCTCTGGTGATACGGTCTGCCAACGGACGGGGCGGGAGTACGGCGCTGTCGAACGGGTTGCGTCTGCCGCCGCCACCTGGTCCAGACGGCACTGCTACCAGCCGGATGGGTTGACCTGTGCGGTGTTAATAAACCGAAAGAATAGAAAGAGCGGCACGGAGCTTTACCATTCGCATTTGCGCCGTCATACTCGCGGACGGCCGCGCTGGCATCACGAGCGGATTCGTAGGTCACGTAAGCAATGCCCTCGGACCGGCCTGCACGATCGTAAACGAGTTCTAATTTCGCAACTGGGCCAATGCGGTTGAAAAGGTCCTAGAGCTGTCAGCAATGCTCCGGATTTCGAGATTCCGGGTCTGCATACATCGAGATCGCTTTCCGTCAGGTCGTAGTGCACGTTGTCGACACGTAATTTCGAGCTTGCTGGTGCGCTGAATAGGGCAGTCAACATCTGTATTGTTTAGGAGGTACGGAACAGCATACTATGCTCTCTCGCGTTCTGGGGAGTATCGTCTTGGGCGTCCGGCATTGCTTGATGCTATCCGTCAATCAGTATGATGCTTCGGGATCTGCGTGATTCGAACATACTATTATCATTGTATTTGTCGTGTACCCATTCACTACTGAAGATCAGCGTCTGGCTATGGCTGACTTGTAAACATTTTAACGCACGAATCAAGATCTCTGGGCTCGTCTCGAATCGACTGTATCCAAAGAAAGTCCGGCGTTAGCTGGTTCTCGTATACGTTTATGCTTCAGGCAGCCATTCGGAATGCCGCTCCAATTGGATCCGGCTGCGATTGCCGCTGAGGAGATGCGAAAGAGGTTCTGGAGGAGGGAGGAGCTGTATAAACCTGGGAGTGCAGCATTAGCAAATCTGGGTCCCCTGCGCGTGTCGCGGTGGATGTTGAGCAACCTTTCTTATGCCATCCCGAGGGTATTCAGTTCTATCGTTGCGACGGCCACCGCGTCTTGGTCCTCGAGAGTCTTTGTTCTGCTATCGGGGACAGTCAGCGCCAATGTACGAGAGGGGCAAGGCTGAAAGGCTGAGTTCAACACAAACATACATGGCGCTCAGAAACAATGTCATCTAAGCTGCGATCCATTGCGCAGGTAGTAGAATAGGAGATAAATGGGCTATGCGCGTAGAGAGGGTTGCAGTATGAATGCTTGTATGTATAGAAGTGAAACACGTTCCGAGTTTTGCAGGTGGACCTGGATTGATGTCGTCCAGCTTTCGCTAAACTTTTCTGTTTACCTTGCTGGTTACGATTTAAGCGCTAAGCGCCAGTATCGCCCCAGTACTGAAGACATCGCCAGCTGTGCGGATGCAAAACCGACCCATCTAATACAAGCATCCAGCGCGAAAATAACCTTGGTTGCAAATAAGACACCTGGAAGCGACGAGCAGTTGCATACTCGTAGCACTTTGACTTGACAGTGTTGCATTTGAGGGAGGCGTTCAGCACAGTCCCTGGCCAACTTTTATGTGACTTTCTTGGCTATGAAGGGGATCTGTAAGCAATTGGTAGCTGGTCTGTTGCTAAGGCCTAAATATTTGCAGAGTGTTCCCCGCGTAACACTTATTTCCAAACAATATTATGGCAGTGCCGAAAGGCCGTCACGTCTGGTCAAATCAGAAAAATCTTGGCGGAAGCAATTTAGTATAACGACGGGATCGCCAGCTTCGCTAGTAAGTTAAATCCTAAATTTATACTATTGGGAAATACCTAAATAAGCTGGAAACTGGTATAAATATGTACTTACATGCCTACAGAAACCCAATGACATCTTGAGCAAAATCAAAGAGGTTCAAAGTTCGTTTGATTCAGAACAATACACGGATTTACTCGCCAATACGGAAAAAACCGTTGTTATACTGTCTACTCCTTCGTTTTCAACGTGGCTTGAAAATGGCCCGTTTATCCCAAATCTTCTTCAAACAATATTTCCGGCTGCGCCGGATGCCACAGAGGTAGAGACTATCCTGGGGGTGGTTGACGGCTTGGCACCCCCCAATATCTCCGACTTAGAGAGTGATAGGATCACACCGACAGAGGGGTTCGGTATTTCCATCATTCTAAGCAAGCCAGGGGAATATCAAGGCGAACGCAGACTCAAGCAAAGCTCCGTGGACTCCAGATCAAATCCGACTGATAGCTCAAGCATCACCGTTAGAATCCATGATCCAACGGTTGTCGAGCCTACGAAGACTGCTCAGACTCAGAAGCATTCAGATATCACCATGCCTCTCGCTAACACGACTTTCCGTAACGGGCGCACATCCACACTTCTTGAAGTGCGTTGGAAAAGAAGCTCTCCGGAGAGCCAATATGAGCAAACTGGAAGTAGTGAGCTAGAGTCTTTGACCATCTCTGATACCTTCTCTGGGAAGCTATTCGAAAACTCCACCAGCATCCCCCTGGAACCTATTACCGAGACCAGACATGTCGCCAGCGGACTCGGGAACATAGTGCGAACTCTCACGGATGCTAGCGGGAAAGAAATACCGGCATCTAGTGAGCTTGAAGCGAGTGTGGTCTCGTATCTGTCGTCGCGAGGATTGCCGGAGCAAACAGTTGGCGTATGGGCCTTGGTTTTTCCCGGTGAAGTCTATGAATCCGACCTTGGTAAATGGGCCAAAGACTACCCTACTCGCGTCTGGGATGCGATAAGAAATGGAGCTAGCCTCCACCGTGTCGGTATGTTTATATATCCCCATGTGTCCCGCATATGCCACTATTTGTGTCCAACTAACGGGTCATAGTATCTGGTGGTGGCGGCTGGGGAATCAAAGCAGGCCTCCTTTCTCTCGACCCTGAAACACAGTTCGGTTCTGGTGAAGCTCGATATGACTTCTCCCAGCCAGGATCCGCTCTCGACAGCGACGCCGAGCAGACGCGAGCCCTTGGCCAAATCGCAAAAGCAGGGACTTATATACAGTTCTTAATTGCGCACCAGCAACTGGATCAAATTGCTGGTGCAATTCCGCCTCTAAACAAGGCTGAGCAATTGGAGCCCCGCAAGGTAGATAGCACTACCCCGTCGATTCTGCTCGGCTGCATCCCATCCACCATCGATGATATTCCATTGCCGCCCTTGGAGATGTCTGGGGACGAAGCACGGAAGGGACTCGCAGTGGCTTATAACCAACTAAGCATACTCTCTGAGAAGGGTCTGTATTTACGCCGGGAAGACGCAGAGCAGACCAATATCCCAGCTCATTTCACCAGAGTCGACATTCCTGGTGGAGCTATCAGAGGGCAGATGGGACAAGAAGCTGAGAGCTGAATCTTTAGTGCGTTAATTGAGCGTGTAAACATAGTGTGATATATAGACATATATAAGCATGTACGATAGATATGATGGAATTTTACGAGGGCATTTTCATCCGTCTGACTCGAGGAAGCAAAGAAAGCGGAATGGCAGTCGCCTTGGACATCAACGACACGTTCAGAGTTCCTCTTCGGACTTTTGGGCGGCATACGTAGTGTCACTAGGCCCCACCTCCCCCACACCCCGGAAGCTCCCACAAGCTCCGTACCACCCCACCCAGCGCCATCAGTGTCAACGGTCTGTCATAAACAGACCATTGGGCAGCCTCCTCATCATGTCCCATCATCGTCGTCGTTATCACATCCCATAGTCGTCGTAATACAATCCCGGCACGACGATCCACTTGCCCCCATCCACTCGGGACAGCGGTTCCCAGAGACCGATCGGCCCGTCCAATCATTAGCGCCACTATAGCGAAGCCATCGATGCAAGGTTGCCAGACATTCTTAGCGTGCTTACAGGTCTCTGATATCCAAGGTGACGGCCATGCCCACCTTCTTGCTTCGTGAGGGCTTCGGCCTGTCTTCAGCATCAGTCGCTGTGTGATATCGCTTTTACTCCGCGACATTGCGGTGTGTTGTGGTGTCAGGTGGCCTTGGCGGCCGTTCCTTCTCTGTACTACTTGTACAAGGCTTTTTGACTCGGAAGGGTTGCCTCGGTTTTTCTTTCCCGTGCCCACTCGCGTGTGGCATCATCCTCCATCTCCCGTTATTCTTATAAAGCTTTGAGGTTTAAGTTTCACATTTCTCATTATTATCAATACAACCAACATCACCCACAAGGTCACACAGACGGTACAGCAATTGGAAGCACTTAAAATGGTCTCTAAATACACGCTATTTGCTGTAGTGGCAGCTGTAGTGTCATATTTGGTTGGGAACGGTGTCATAACTCCGCCATGGTATCTTGCATTTGGATATGTAGGAATCTTTATCGAAGGATTCCTGGTACAGTTTACAGTCTGGGCTTTCTACAGCGTATTGTTGAAGCATAGGCTGAGCCCATTGAGGCACCTGCCCGGCCCAAAGGTTTGTGAACCTCTGGTAGAGACTCTCTACAGTGACCACTGAGCTAAAAAATTTTTATGTCCGTTAGGATAACGGTTTATTCATGGGACAATGGGACAATATGGTTGGAGAACAATTGGGCGGTCCACAGCGAACATGGTAAGTCGCATTGAGTCACATTACTTCGTATTAGTTCCCCTTATTCTAACATCCTCAGGGCTAGAACAATCCCCAACGATGGCATTATTCGTTTCTTGGGCATCTTCAACAAGGAGCGCCTCTTAATCACCTCTCCTAAGGCCCTCTCCGAGGTCCTCACTACTAAGTCCTATGATTTCATAAAGCCTTACGAGTTCTCCGTAGGTATTGGGCGTCTACTCGGCATCGGTGTGCTTCTGGCCGAAGGCGATGAGCACAAGTTTCAACGCAAGAACTTGATGCCCGCGTTCGCTTTTCGCCACGTTAAAAGCCTCTTTCCGATCTTCTGGTCCAAGTCGGTCGAGGTTGTGTTTGCCATAGACAACGAGATCAAAAACACCGCCGGCGCCCCTCCTTCAGAAGCTGCTATCGACGCGGGAATCAGCCGAGACGTCAAGGTAAACAGCGATCAGGCTATCGTCTCCGTCGGGCAGTGGTTCAACCGAGCGACCCTAGACATCATTGGGCTCGCCGGAATGGGACAGGACTTTAATGCTATCGCCGACCCCACCGGAGACCTGTATCAAGCATACGTCAGGACGTTCCGGCCTTCTCGCGAGGCTTTTGCTCTGCAAATCTTGTCCTTATTTATCTCCCACGCCATCATTAGGCATTTACCCTTCAAGCACAACAGGGAAGTGAACAAATCCGTCAAAATAATTCGCGACATCTCCCGAGACCTCATCATCAAGAAGAAGGAACGCCTCGCGAAAGGCTTAGAAGCAGACAAGGACATCCTCAGCGTGGCTCTCGAGTCCGGAGCCTTTACTGACGACCAACTCGTCGACCAGGTCATGACCTTCCTCGCCGCCGGTCATGAAACAACTGCTACAGCAATGATTTGGGCCATCTACCTACTCGGCCTACACCCAGCCATACAGACGCGTCTGCGCGCCGAAGTCCGCGCCAGCCTCCCAAGCCCCGACTCTGGCGACTCCATCACAGCGGCGGACATCGAGCGGCTGCCCTACCTAAACGCCGTGTGCGCGGAAGTCCTGCGGCACCACTCCCCCGTGCCGATGACGCTGCGGGAGGCCAACGTCAACACTTCGATCCAGGGGGTTCCCGTCCCCAAGGGCACGATGCTGTACCTGGTGCCGTGGGCGACGAACCGCGACCCGAAGCTCTGGGGCCCGGATGTGGATGAGTTCGAGCCGGAGCGCTGGCTGCGGGACGCGAGTGGGGGTGCGGAGACGAACTATGCGTTCCTGACGTTCATACATGGGCCGCGCAGTTGCATTGGAGAGAAGTTTGCGAGAGGCGAGTTTGCGTGTTTGGTGGCGGCTTTTGTGGGGAGGTTTGAGTTTGAGTTGGCGGATCCCAGGATGGAGGATGAGAGGACGATTCCGATTAAGAGGGGGGCTACGAGCAAGCCGGAGAATGGGCTGTGGATTAAGACGAGGAAGGTGGAGGGGTGGTAGGGTGGTAGGTGATAGGATGATAAGATGATAGGATGGTTTATGAAGATGGGATGAAAAAGCGGAATGAATGAGCGAGGTTTATATACTTCCGGAGAGGGTGTTCTTGCTAAAGTGACAGACGCACAATAGTCAAGGAGTATGTATGTACTGTACATACACGACGAGAAGTACTATGAGTATAATGTTAGTCATCCTACTGTTCGTGAGTAGCTGGTTTGTTTCGTCGTCTTTGGTATCTTTGATAATATGCCTATTTGATATGCCGCGTCGGTATGAGTGTCTGGCATGTCTGCCTTGATCTCCAAACCGTCTGATATGCCTACCTTGGTCTCCAAACTGTCTGACATGCCCGCCTAGATCTCCAAACTGTCTGACAGGTCTGCCTTCACCTCCAAACCGTCTGATATGCCACCCTTCATCACCAAACCGTCCGACATGCCTGCCTTGATCTCTATACCGTCTGTGAACACACTACCACCCGCTGCCCGCTTCCACCTGCTTCACGAATTCAAACCTGACCGTTGATTGGCCAATGCAGGCACTTTACGCGTAAAGGACGCGACTACCTCGACGCGTCAAAACGCGCAAGACGCGTCTCTCAGACAACACTACTACTAAACAGGAATAGCGCAGGACCTTCACAAGGGCGCAAGACGCGGGTCCCACCAGTTTCTACTAAACTATTTCCAGTTAGCCTGCACCCCTTGAACACCCTTTCAACCCTCACCCGCCCCGTCACGCGCCGCCCGAAGCACCCCGTCTCAGCCAATCACACAGCATCGTGCCCTCGGAGCGGGGACACCAGGCTACCCTCAGGCTGCCCATATTAAGGCCTGTGTTGGCCCGTCCCGCCAGACCCCTTCCCTCGTCCTGTTATCCACCCACATCCGTTGTTACCGTTGTTCCTGCGCATCATATCGCATCGCACTGCATAACACCGGACACTTCACCGCGCATATCGATCCATAACTGCCCGTCGGCCCCACGAGGAGCACAGCACAGCTCGCCGTCGCACATACTCCGCGCAGCTATAAGCCATTCAATTCATATCTCCTATACATACCCGCGACACACAGGCCTTCACCTCGCCCCGGCCCGCGCGCGCAATCCGCGACCGTCACCGCCCGGCCGCAGCCGGCGCACAAACCACCATCACAATCATAACCTCAACCACGACGACAATGCTCCTCCCTGCGCTCTGCCCGCCCCCTCGCCGCGCCCCGCTCCCACCTTCTCTCTTCGCTTCCCCGCCCGCCTCCCCCTCGCAACAGACCACGTCCTCGCACTCCGCCCTCCTCGCCACATGTCGCGCCCTCCAGAGCATGCTCGCCTCGCCGCAGCCTCAGACGCAGCTTCCAACCCCGCCGATGCGACACGTTCCGCTGCCGTCGCCGATGAAGCTGCGTCTGCGGTCGTCCACGTCGCGGCCGTCGTCGAGTGATGCTAGCGCTGCGGCAGTTGCTGAGGCGCCGCTGCCGGTGAAACCGATACCGAGGAAGAGGATAGTGAAGCGTGCGTCGCCGAGGGGGGCGGGGAAGAGGCGAAGGGGAGTGGTAGAGGAGGACGAGGAGGAGGAAGGGCCGAGGACGCCGAAGAGGAGTAGAGGCGTGCCGGAGATGATGCCGTTGGGGCTTGTGAGGAGGGATTTTGAGAGGTTACATGATGCGCATCAGTATCGAAGTGAGGAGGCGGATGCGCTGGGGATAGTGGGAGGCCCGGTGGGGGAGACGTCCGAGGTGGTGGATGAGGGTGAGGGGGATGAAGGGGAATGGACGGATGAGGAGGATAGGGTGCTTGTTGAACTTGTGTTGCAGAAGTTGAAGCTTAGTCGGAGAGAGTGGATGGACTGTGCGAAGATGGTTGGGAGGGATAGGCGGAGTGTGGGGAGGAGGTGGAGCAGTCTTGTTGGGGGAGGGGAAGTGGGGTTGAAGAGGAGGGGGAGGGAGAGGGGTGAGTTGCCTGGGACGTGGCGGTAGAGTGCTAGGCTTGTAATCGATAGGTCGGGTTTGGGGTTTGGGGTGTTACATTGGATATCCCGTCTAAGGACGACGAATGCTATTTGGGTTATATATATATTTATCTAGTCACGGATCACTTCCATCAATCATAACTTTGGTTCTCTTCGCATCATATTTGTAGCCCGTACACATTCCCTGTTGATAGTTGTCTCTTCTCTTGCCTCCTACCCCTGATACTAAACCTGCAAATATACGACCCGCTTGTCTCTGTGGTTGCTGTAACCTCTTCTTCGTTATTAATCCTCGGCGATCCAGCACTTCAATGGGACCAGCTGGATTGCACAACTCTGGTTAACCTCGCCGATGCTCTTACAGCATGGTCGCAGCCGCGGAGTCCACAAGTATCACTAAAACAGCATCACCAAACTACCCCAAGGACTGGTCCTTCCCATCACCGTCGCACCTGAAGAACTCATATCACACCTCCAGCCCCTCCTATAAAGAAGTCGGGGTGATTCGCCGTGTAGTTGCCTAGATACCATTGCGTTTTTCAGGCCTTCACTCCAATAGGAATTTCAGGCTTCTTATTATCCATACCTTCTATAGGGCGCAACTTCAGGCGACGGGGGACAGTAGGATTGCAATAGTTGGACTGGAAGATATGGTTGAGGTGTACAATTTTGCGGATTTAGTGAGGAGACTGCGGGCTGTGTCGGCGACGGTTTTCCATGACCTTATTGTTTGATTTAAGTACCTTTGCGGTATATGGGAGAGCCATGGATGATGCTTGGCATTAATATCCCGATCCTTCGAGGCATACGCTATGGAGGCTCCATTAAGTAGTTTAGCAAATAACTGGGGTTGATCTAGGATAATACCCCGTACTACGCTCCTATATATAGTATTTGTTCTCCTCATGATTACCGAAAGTGATAAGATCAGCTCCCCGTGGTATCTCGGCCAATTTACCCATGAACTCCAGCCGACTCACAATTAGGACCCCAACAACCATCGAGCCAAAAAATAGAATTCCGCCGTAGGCTACAACACCAAAAGCGCATCTTTAGACACCAAGAAACTTGCAATTTGCGCTATATACCACCTATTGGCTATCACATAGATTGAGAACGAAAGCCGACTGAATCTCAAACTTAAGGCATGGCAGACCGGAAGATCGTATCCACATCGCAGCATAAGGCTCAATCACGCCAGGCACATAATGATTTTATATCGAAGGCGGTAAAAAACATACAAAAGTGGGTATTATAGCCAGTAGTTACCACAAGGAATTCTCGGCCATCTAGTATTGCAACTCGTCCGCCAGAACTATCCACATCCTACATCATTGCCAACGTTCTTATAACATAGCCATGGCCGTCGAGAGACCAAGGCACAACACCACCAAACCACCCCAACTAGTTCTTCCCTGAACCGCTGCACTGCGAGTATCTGGCGTATCGCACGTCCAAAGATTGTTGTACTCGTCGTCGGTGTCGATTCCCGGATGCTCGTCGTAAAATTTGTTCATGCACAGGTTCGCTACATCGACCTGTTGTGCAGTCGGGGCGTTGCAGAAGACCTTGCAGTTTGTTCCGGAGCCGTTGCCGCCTTGGGGGGCAAACGAGCGAATCTCTGGGCAGCAGGATTTCAGGGCGCCGGCTACTCTGGAGCCGGGTTTTCCATACAAGAAGCAGCCAGCTTCAAGTAGTTCGTGTCCGTCGACGGCGCCGTGGCAAGTGACCATAGTTTTGTTGGACATTTTTGTGGAATTTGTGAGGAGATTGTGGGTTGTAATGGCGAGGGGTGGGTTTTTTTCATGGGCTTACCGTTCGATATAAGTACGTTTGCAGCAAAATAGGAGGTTCATGGATGATGCTTGGGAATGCGTTATGATTGCCATAAGATATCTCGATAGAGGCATATCATTAGATTGACCGCTTCCTGAAGGATTCAGATAGTTGCGTGAGGTTGAAGCCAACCCCACACACAGTCTATAAATAGGTATATAAGGGCCCATTTCCGCCCCCAACGATATCACGGCCGATTTAACCATGAATTCCTGCCGACTCACAATTACACCCCACGAAAAGGGAGAATTTTGCGAACAACGCCCTACCATGGAAAATGCCAAGACAACTTTGCACAAGGCCCCTCGCACGAAACAAATTCTGAGCCACATCTGCTTTGTTGTCTGTTCTAACCCTGGTCTGAGTCTTCCATTTGCGATGAAAGAGATGGGCCACCGAAACGAGGCAGAGGCGATGGGCGCATTCATCAGCCCGCAAATATCACAAAGAAAACACTGTTTGCGGATTGGAATGCGGCCACCATAGATATTTGAAGTCGCAACTGAGGGCTCATTGGATTTTTGCTGCAATCATTCCACGGAACTAAAGGAAGGGTGACAGAAACCGTTAATTGAAGTCCTTGTGATGTTTGCATAGTGAAAAAGTGCCAGCTTTGCCGCATTGTAAGGAGACCACCAGTTTTGCAAACGTGAACCTTAATCACCTAACCATAACTCCAGTGTAGTTTCTTTGTCTCTTTGTCTTCGAGGGGGGTTATATTCCAGACATTTTTTCTTCATTATAGGAGAAATCATCTTACTATATCCCACGAAAAAGACCTTCGGCATAACTTCTCAAAAAAAAATTAACTCTCATAAAACTATTGATTTGTTCCTACGTATACATCAACGGATTCACGATGGCTCTCTCATGGCTGGACCAAGAACTATGGAAAAGACGGGCCGACACACTCCTCTGCCACAACTGCGGCTGGAATATGAAACTTCAGGTTCGCACTGGATACGCTAGCACCGTCAAATGTTTTTTTGGGCAGGCAACGCGTGGCATGTGGTATATTGGGAGCGAATACGTTCTGAAAGAGTTACCTTTATTGATTCTTTCGGAAATGACTACATTGGGACTGACTTTGCGACCACCAAATGGGTACGCGAAAATACGAAAATCCCTGTGGTTGAGGAGATGAAGTACTGGAAGGATGACAACAGCCACTTTTTCTTGATGAAAAGGGTGCCTGGTGAAAGTCTAGAGGATGCATGGCCACGGCTCAGCGGAGCCGAAAAAAAAAATTACGCACGCGAAGTTATTGAATATATTGCAGAGCTTCGCAAGCACAAGGCACCATCACCACAGACGGTCGAAGGTGCCCCCGTACGCGACCAAATGCTCGGGTCTACGCACACCTCGGTGGTGGTTATCGAGGACAAAGAAACTTGGTGGGCACGTGTGGCAAAAGGTATTCGCAGAACGGATTCGGCATGGTTAGAGAAATACAGCCAACGCAATATGTGCTTACACACTGCGACTTAAACATAGGCAACATTATGGTACATGACGGACATGTCAGCGGCATCATTGATTGGGAGCATGCAGGGTATTTGCCTGATTGGTGGGAACATGCGTGTGCCTATAATTGGATTCAGGAGCCTCTGTGGCAGAGTCTCATATGCAAAGAGATGGAAAAACAACTCGAAACCGAATTTGGCAACTATCGTGATGCGGCGAGCTTTTGTTGCACCTTCAGTAGCATACATACAAAGCCCCCTAGGGATACTGAGCGACGCAAATTTGAAGACAGAGGGAACTTTTGCGACTGTAAGCCAGATTTTTAAGTGGAATAAATCGTTGCGTTTTGTTGGGTTGGGTCTTCGTTTGCAATTTCACTATTCTATGTACTCGCTTGGTTTTGTTGAATTGGGTCTCTGTTTGCAATTTCACTATTCTTTGTACTCTTTCAATTAGGGATCGCATTTATTGAATGTTTCATTAAATAGCAGCATTATGCTCCCCAACGTGCTCCTGAACGTGCGCCTGGACGTGCTCCAGCTGATATCTCATAGCCCTATGCGTCTCAACGTGCCCCCGAACACCTCCCTCCAACCAACGTGCTCCTGAACGTGCGCCTGAATATGCTCCTGAACGTGCTCCAGCTGATATCTCATAACCCTATGCCTCTCAACGTGCTCCCGGACATACCCCCAAACGTCCCCCCCAAAATGACCCCCAACGTGCCCCTGAACGTGCTCCTGAACGTGCGTCTGAATGCGCTCCATCTGATATCTCATAACCGTACTCCCATCATCCCACGATAAATGGCCTTTGTTCCGCCTTTGCCGGGCCTGTAATGTGATCCACTCAACTCCCAGTAGACCATGACACCTTCAACGCCGTTGCAATATCACGTTGCCTTAGCCCCCAACACAGTTACTGTCGTAGGGCGAGACCTCCCAGATCGATCGGCGGCTATATTTAACTATGAGGCGTTCGAGGTTGACACGTTGACCTTGCCTCTACCATCGATGATTAAAAGCACCTCGACACCATGCACCCTGAACTCCCCTATGGTGGACTAGCCCCTTTGGTCTTTATTGTCTTCGTGGATCCATAACTGCACCAGAGGTTGGTAATAAATAGAGGATATATCGGCGATAGAGTCTCGAGTGAGCCGTATTAGTTCTCTTCTAGGGCCCGTCGGGATAAGTGCCAAACAATGAGAACATTCGCCCACCCCAGTTGGATTGCCCCTGTTGCAAAAGAAGCAAGGCATTTCTAGTTTAGAATGTATGTTAGCAGAAAATTCGAATGGTTCATGCAGGAGAACGAAGAGAGAATTAATTATAATAAGGATTACTCACCGTATATCTTTTTGTTGTTGTGTTTGATCCCAATGATTTTTTTGAAGACACCCCGTTGCTTGGCCTCTTGGTTGTTGGTTCTTCAGTCAGCAGTCTTAGGATGGAATGATCTTGGACGTGTGTTGAATGAAAACAGAATATACATCCTTCAACAGAAATCCGGACATTATATACTGATTTTAGAAAGTTCTTCTCGAACGGTGGAGAAGGATGGTGACGTTGACTGGCATATGCAGAAACAAGAGATAAATGATATTACACCACAACTGAGACGGTGCCTAAAGTAATAAAACATCTAGAACCAAAAGTCTATAAGAGATAGATCTGGGGAAAGAAAGATTCGACCAGAATCGTGCTTGCTGATTCGCCGTAAAATAGTATCTGTTGGTGGTTACCAGCGTAGCTGAGAACAAGAAAAGCAACCCCAACCTTACTTTATGTATCTCAGGGCAGAGTGGAGAGTCACATGTAGACTTAACTCACTCTCCACGCCGCAACATAACAACCAACCACTAGACATTGACTTTATATCCAAAAGATCAATAAAGAACATATAAAAGGGGGTATTCGCTGGTGAGTCTCGTATTGAGAAGCGATGTATGTGATGGACCGCGACTTTGGATGGCCATGATATAGGTGAGCGAATGGTGAGCGAGTGATCGAGGGTGAGCAAGCTCATTCATTCAAGGCCAACTCCTCCATCCTCAAAACCACTTTTCGCCAAGCAGAGACAATCTGCATCACGATATCTTCTCAACGCCACCCGAACCCTATCTCAACTTACGTACAAACCTGAGTTCTCGGATTATATAACCGGGTAATTCCGGCCTAACTCTAGATTATGGAACTTGTCTCTTGGCGGGGAGGGCCAAGCAATACAGTGAGCAGATTATCGTTGCCTTCGTACCGCATGACTGGCTGGGATCGGCTTTTAATAGGAGTTGGGTACCGGTACGCCCCTCCCGGAAACTAAAATTGGAGTCGAAACTTTTAAGGGAGAAGTATTAAGGTAAGGCTAACCCCGCGTTTTTCTTTCATACCGTGGTCCTCAAACAGTTTATTTTTTTCAGAATTTAGATTTTTTTAAGAAAATCTGGGGGATGTATTGCGCTTTGTGGTCTAAATCGAGAGCGGTGTGATCGGTGAGTGAACTGACGTCCATCTGATACTGCCAAGTCGCTCGCATAGGTGTAAATAGCCAAACGTGACACCTACTTACAAAATAATTTATTCTAACTTATCAACGGATCAGATACACAATACACGCTCATTATTCACTGTTGACTATCTATTAATTTAATATGGGGTCTTCACTAATGAAGAGAATGCTTGTCGCGCGCCAAGTAGCCACCGATGCGAAGCCATCGTGTGGGAGGGCTGTCAATGGGGAAGACTATAACCTCAACCTCCACATTGCCGCTGTTTTCATCATCCTCTTCGTGTCATCAACAGCTTGCGCCTTCCCTCTCATTGTGGTAAAAGCACCCCGCCTCCGCATCCCACCCACCTTCCTCTTCGTCGTGCGTCATTTTGGAACGGGTGTCCTAATCGCTACTGCGTTCGTGCATTTGTTGCCCACGGCGTTTATTTCCCTCACTGATCCCTGCCTGCCCGATTTCTGGAATAAGGATTATCCTGCTATGGCGGGGGCGTTGGCTCTTGCTGCGGTGTTCATGATTGCTGTGGTGGAGATGGTGTTTAGTCCGGGGAAGAATGGGTGTGCAATGCCGGCGGGAATGATGGAGGAGAGTATCGGGGGCGGGCATAGGAATGAGAATACGAAAGAGGGCTCTAGTGTCGGGAATCAGGAGGGAGAAAGGCGTAGGTGTTTTTTTTTTGTTTGTTCTGTTCTAGCCCATAGGAGGAAAAGAGTAGAAGGGAAGGATATAGACACGTAGCTGACAGTGAAACAGGACCAGAACAGGGGCTCATCCACGGCCGAAATAATAGCACAGGAAGGGAGCTCCAGAGAATCACGAAAAGCAGTGCAGCTTTCGATGCGGGGGAGCGCAATACACTCCCTCAAGCTAAAGAGGAGTCTGAAAAATATGTAGCTTCATCATCTGCGAATGGAACAGCAATCACGCCCATCGAGATACAAAATCACAAGAAAGCACTAATGCAGTGTGTGCTGTTAGAGATGGGGATTCTATTCCACAGTGTGTTTATTGGCATGGCACTCAGTGTTGCTGTTGGGAACGATTTTATCGTGCTTTTAATTGCAATTACTTTCCATCGTAAGTTTCCACATCTTCCCAACCCCACATGGTGTGAATCTTCCCGGAACTAATGACCTGTGAACAGAAACATTTGAAGGTCTCGCACTTGGGTCACGAATTGCGGTCCTAAGTTGGAAAAGACATGCTTTCCAACCTTGGCTTATGGCGCTCGCCTACGGCTGCACGTACGCTCTCACTTCCCTCCCTTCTCCCCCTTTACCCTACTAACACGCCCTTAGAACGCCAATAGGCCAGGCCATAGGTCTAGCAACACGCACCCTCTATGCACCCGGCTCACAAGTTGGCCTCCTTATGGTCGGGATTATGAATGCTATTTCATCTGGATTGTTGACGTTTACGAGTTTAGTGGATTTGATGAGCGAGGATTTCTTGAGTGATGAGAGTTGGACAGTTTTAAGGGGGAGGAGGAGGGTTTGGGCTTGTTTGCTGGTTTTTGCGGGAGCATTTGGGATGAGTTTGATTGGTGCTTGGGCTTGAGGTGACGTGGATGCAAAAATGGGAAAGTGAGAATAATCAATGGGGTTGGAATGTGACCCAACAAACCTGCATACGGCTTGAAGAGCCCGTCGCCTGTGGATTGCATTCGCTGCTGTGAATCCTTCGCCCACGTTGTTAGCTAATTCTGAGGCAATGTAAGTATATTATGGAGGCTCCTAACTAAGTCTATTACAACAACCGGCTCGCTTTAAAACAAAAGAAAGTGATTTATAAGTCATCATAGAGCCGCCTTGCCCTAGCAGAATATTAGAATCAGCGCACACTAACCCCGAACTCAATGGCAAACCTAGTTCTAAAGGCTATGCACATATTCGTGCTCTTTCACTGCCCTTTCTTTTCCGCAATGATCCGATAGCTCGTACTAACCAACCTCTGCGTATCCATCTCTACGAACGCCTCACCGTCCAAACACAACCTATCCATTAACGTTCTCAAATGCGCCGGCAGCACCTTAACGCCAACCAATCCCTTAATCAACGCCCTCGCGGTGCGAAAGTATCCATCCTCCTTGGCAATCAGTGGCGCCTGCAGCCCACCGACGCTCGCATTATCCGACTTCCGCACTGCGAATCCCACCTCCATCAGGGCTGTGGCTAGTGTTTCTGGTGTCGGTGTCCCAACCGCACCAATGAGTGGTTTTACTCGGCGCATCAGTTCCTCGTGATGAGGATTGGTTGGGTCGTAGTCTGGAAGCGATACCCAGTCCAGGATGGAGAATTTGGCGCCGGGCTTGAGGACTCGGTGCAGTTCGCTAAAGAGAGCGGGGAGGTCTTTGCATAAGCTAAGAGCCTGGATCTCGTAGCATGCATCGAAGGTATCGTCTGCGAAAGGGAGAGGCAGATTGTTAAAGTCTGCTTCTACAAATGTGTTCTCCAGCCGACGCTCCTCGTTGTATGTTCTGGCCTGGGCGATCTGATTCGGATCGATGTTGACGCCTGTTAGTTTTGCGCCAGAAAAGGTGGCCATGTGAGCCGCAACTCTGCCACGGCCGCAGCCTATATCCAAGGCCTTGTCTCCAGGCTTGAGGTTGATATCCCGCGCCACCGACTCCTCGTATAAGAGCTGATTGTCAAGTACCGACACATGGATGTCGATAAGAGGTGGGATGTACATCTTCTCCACATTGCCAAGGGCGCATAGGTGGTTGAGGACGCCATAGTAGGAACGCAGGCAGCTGCCGACTTTTTCAACGTAATCGGGACCAAGCGCCTGTATCATCTGCCCCTCATCTGCCCAGTCGAGACTGTATATAACGTATGACGCTAAGTAGTTGGAGACCTGCTCGGGGGTGAGGTTGTAGAGGTATCGAAAAGATGTGCATATGGTTCGTAGGCGGCTGGTCGATGCCGACCGATGCTTGTCTGCTTTTGCTCGCCCATCCTTTCTAAGAAACTTCGCCTTCGCCTTCATTCGCGGCGCGGGAGACTGTAGGGCCGCCATGCCGAGGTTTCCTTTTTCGAGATTTCCATTTTCGAGATCGCTGAGGCTGTAAGAGGAGCTGGTTTGGGATGCAGCTTGGCCGGGATGGCTGAGTCTGTGAGGGTGTGTGTGAGTGTCGGTGTGAGTGTGAGCGTGAATGTCCGTCATTCTTGGGAATTCACGAGGTAAGCAGTAAGTCATGAGGTAACCTTGCCGTATTAGATGTTCAAATGTATATTATATTAGTGTTCTCTATAGAGATATTCACATCATGGTGCGCCATCTTCCCTTTAAGTGCTTATGGGCTGTGGCAAACCCGGCGCAGTAAACTCAACGTCCGGACGCTAGATTCAGCGTGGCATGCTAATGATCCCATGATGTTTGGATTGAAACGGAGAATTTGAAGTTCTAAATTTTAAAGTTGTTCTTACACCGGATGCTTCGGAGGCGGCTGTCGCGGAACGAAGTTCGGGGGCGTATGATTGGTTGATTTATTCATACTCGGTTCAAGCGGCCCAGCTGGCTCGCATTGGGGACCAAGTCATATATCGCGAAAAGTAAATACTAAGAGAAAATCCTCGACTGACATTCCAACTCATCCGATCAAGTCGGGCCTCAGCCGGTTCGTAGTCAAAAAGTCGTCCCCACACAATATCCACTTAACAAGTGCGTCCGTAGTATGTAAGGATCCTCGGGTGAACAGTGTAGTTTGGAAGTCACGTTTATGGGCTATTGGCTATTACATAGAATCCTCTTGTATTACGAAGACTGAACGCTGATCCTCCTCCGGAGGTCCGCGTTCCTATTATATACTCTTCCGGGCAGGCTCGGAGTGAATGGAGTGAAGACCCTCTGTCTTACCACTACAACGCACATAATTGCCTAGTCCACGTGACGCTGCTGTGGCAATTATCCCCTAGCTCACCCAGCCCACCCTGGTCATCCCTCGCCTCACCCTTCTGGCGGCAATGGGCTGCGATTCTACGCTATGCCTATTGGCACGATTAAGACTATAATCTGGAGAATACGCAAGCTTGTGTATCACAGAGCGGACGGGATGCCCAATTCTCTTGAGTCTATGGTCATATGTAATGTGATGTGGATTGTTAAGCATTATATATAGAAACCAGGCTTTAGTTCCGTCATAAAATCTCGAAGAGAACCATAGTCCGTGTTGGTCTTCTGCCTCAATGAAATCGCGATTGATTCTAATACGCCGATGACATCCGTTGGGCAGTTGACTTCTTCAACCACAAGTGCTTTGAACAACTCCCAGAATGGCACATGCAACACGTCTGAATCGAGGATAGAGAAGCGGTCCTCGCACAGGACTTGTGGGGAACATGGCAGGATGTAGCGATCCTCCATCATGACTGAACTGCAGCGAAAAATCCGAGGCGATTGACAACCAAGGGGCGAGGGTAAATACTGTATCCGCCCGTCAGTACTCTAGTGCTGTATTTGTTGGGAATTCGGGGGAAATTAAGGTGAGGACTATGGGATTCCGGATTTATAGCTTGGCTTAGCGAAAATCCCCCGGCAATCCCACGGGCTCCCGTACGCCACGACCGGCGCACCCAGCTCACCCTACTCATCCCTCTCACTTAACGTAGGTGGCCTGACACCTCACCCACGTTCACCCCTCGTCTCACCCTTCAAGCGGCAAGGACCGCGATTTCGCGCTATGTCTATTGGCACGATTGAGACTATTATCCTGAGGATACGCAAGCTTGTGTATGGCAGAGCGGACAGGATGGTCTAATCTACATGTCAGATTTCATTTCAGCCTGTCAAACAACAAAATGACCTCTCGGCGAGTTCGGCGCAGGTCATCTATAAGTACTTAGGTTAAAATGTTCTATTTAGTGTAAAGGGTTGTGTAGTACAAAGAGATGCTAGTGTTATAAGGAAGTAAACGGATATAGTGTATACTACTATTCCTGCTTGGTTAGCTACCTTTGTTGTCGTTGTCCCGTATTGCATCTCTACTCGATATAAGCCTTGCCTAGGATCATACTCTGCTCCCAGATATCTACTCGTGGATATCCCTCCGTACGAGCGAAGCTCATGGCCGGTTCTGGCGATTAGTGGAGCATAGAATAGTACGACTAACTTATAGCAGTGTAGTATGACGCTAGAAAGCGCCACCACTGTACCCCGCACGCTACCACTGAAGATCCCTTCCTACTAGTTTCTATATAGTAGTTAGCGACCTCCCCCCCACAAACTATACCATTAAGCATTGCCTAGGACCATACTCTGGTCCCGGATATCTACTCGCGGATATCGCGACCTACCCATGTCTACTACCTCCTACAGAACGCATGCCAGATACTATTCCAAATGGCGTCTCTTATTACACCACCACCAATGAACACAACGGACCAAATCTACTTCGAAACGAGTTGGGCGATACTAAGCACCATTGGATTAATGAATGTATTATACGGAAGTCTCGTGGTTGGAATAACAAACATTTCGCCTATCACTGTTGTTCCTATTATTGTATCGATAGCCTGCGCAGTTGCAAATGGAATGTGTTACTATTCATTCTATGGTGACTATCAGCGAATACCAAGCCTTGCGGCTGGAATAGTTGCAGATGTGATGTGGTTGGTAAGTACAGATTCAGATGTTGTGCTACGTAAATTCCTCGAACTCAATCGTCTACAGATCCAAGAGGCTGGGTTGTCTTTTTACAGTTACCAAATACTAGATAAAATATTACAACATCGCGACAGAAGAGTTTTTCTGGCATGCTTTTGGTCTATTATGGCTGCCATTGTGCTCATTCGAGCGAGTATCTTGGTAACTCGTGCACTCGACAACTTTCACAAGTCCTCATCGATGCAAAAACTTACCAGCGATTTACACATTGGATATTTCATTGCTATCGCTCTTGTGGAGTGCGTCAGCTCAGTATTCTTGCTGCGTGTATTTGCTGCTGCGAAAGAATCTGCCGTGGCCTTCACTTCGGCAACAAGCCTATTCCGTCATTTGACTCGCAGTACTGAAATTAGGCTTGCCTCTTTGTCTTTGATTGGCCTTACGAGGGCTGTCACGTACAGCTTCCAAAATTCGGCACAGAAAGCTACCAGTGTTGCGAGCCAGGTCGACAGATTTGTATACACTCTTGAATGTCTATTTCCTGTGCTGCTTATGTGAGTCAACATGTGGTTATTTGAGAATTTCCCTTCAGTAATGCTGACACGAATGTAGGATTGATATATTGGGTTCAAGGCTTGTTGCAGCAGAGCAAACGTTTGAAACCTTCCCAACTCAAGACAGTCGACAGATCGCCAGAAGACAACACGGCAGTGCCGAAGACAACACCTCAGTACCGAACAGCGATAACACCAAAGCACTGACTTCGCAGTCATTTTTCGAAAGACGCAAGCTGAGTAGTAGTAGCAATTCCTCCAAGGTACCGTTGCATATTCTATCAAGCGTTAAGAGAGTCAGAACTGCCAATAGCCAAGCGAGTGGTTCACAAGAGCAGTGCCCAGATATTCTGCAAAGACCAAAGAATATTGGTATTGCGGTTAGTGTGAATAGACCTGCTGAGTTTGAGGACATCGAGATCCATGAGTGGAAGTAAATTGAAAAGGTCAACCATACGTGTATAATAAACGGCACGGGTATATATATTGGCTTATACTAAATGTGTATTTATTGATCACTCCAGTATTAAAAGGCGCCCGGAATAAAACCCCGACAGTGAAATGCTTGGTTTTCACGGATCGGATGTGAAACCCGCAGTCGTGATCGCCTCCTTAGCGGCGAAACTCGAACACGGCCCTATAATCAGTTGCTTCGATGTTTGAGAACTTAACAGTGCCATTTGCAAGAACAGCCCTGAAAGCAACGGTATTCTCACCTTGATACCGGGTGATGTTCTCAGGAACAGTTATTGATTTCTGGCGCACTATATTAGGTTTGGGGGCGATTTATACCGTGGCATGTAGTGTGTACTATTAATAATATGTCAACCCCGGTGGCGGTGTGTAGAACGCACTCTATGCTTGCTCCAATCGCCTCGTAAAAACCCGGTCCAACCATATGTCCAGCAATCCGCATCCACCCTTCGTCACCATCCTCCTGGTCTATATGCTCCCTGGCCTCCACCGTCCAATCCGAGTCCAAATCCTGGTCCCAGCAGCGTACAAAATTAACCCAACCACAGTCAAAATCATTATGTGGGTCTGCATCTACTGTAGCCCGTAGCACTTCCTCTTCAACCTGGATTAAAGTACTGATACCGCGAGGCGATATAATACTCCTTGCCATCCACAACACGCAGCTGCTCGGATTTCTCTACCTCTGTTGCCTAGGTGCGGAAGTGCTGGCGGAGTTGGTCCCTCGACGCGCCGTCGAATAAGCTCTGATCTGAGACAAAGGTCCACTCGAGACCATTCGCTACTTCGTGCGGGAACTTACGCTCTACCATTTCCTTGCGTGATCAGTCATTAAAGATTTTCTGAAATTTAGCCCAAGCCTTGTCGTCGCCGTACGTACAGCGGTATATTACCCAGCCCCATTTATTGTGTTTTAAACGACGGAGGTCAGCGAGGATGTTGTGGGGTACGTCGTCGATGTAGTTTAGCTCGAAGTGACGGCGCCCTGAGAGGGTGTTTTGGGCACGTTGTTGATATCAATCAGGGTGTCGGAGGAGGGTGCAGAAGAAGATATAAATCTAGGCGAAGGCAGCTGTAAAGTTGAACCGCGGTGGGTTGGACAGAAGAGCCAGGGCTTTTGGAGATGTCTGGTTTTTAGATATGTAGAGAGGTATGGTGTACACAGCGGCGCTCTAGTTTTGTAGCTACGTCGGATGTTTCTAACTTGAATTGGACGAATCCAGCAGAAAGAGGCCATTTAATGCGAAGCTGCTTGTTGTTGAAGTTGCAATGGTTGCAACGAGCTGAACAACTTGCAATAACTAAGAAGTTTGAAAATCGTTTGGAGGCCAAGAATCAGGCAGAATTAGACACTAACATCCTAGAACCCGTAGTTTCGTACGTAGAATAGTACAGACTCGACCTAGTCCATACCAACCTGCATTACCAAAGGTAAAAACGTCCCCATAGCTCGATTAAATGTCCACAAATGCATATAAATCGAATAACTAGCCTTGACAACCATACTTAGCGCTTGAAGCCAGCGAATATTATAATGAAGTTCCATCTCTTGAGACGTGCCCATATCGAATTGAAGATGGGTGTTGTGATGTCCTTGCGGAATTTGGCGAAATGCGGTAGCACTTTCATTATATTCATGCCGCTCTAAGAATCACTACTACTGCCTTGGCCACCTCTTCTGTAATCACCACATCGTCTCCTCAGCGGTCGAGAAGCAGTTCCATCATATTCATGCCGCTCTAGGAATTCCCTTCTGCTGCCTTGACCACTTCTTCTGTAATCACCACATCGTCCCCTTGGGTCGAGAGGCAGTTCCATCACTTCCTTGCCACGCATTGAATTATGAAGGAAAACCATGGCCATGGGTGTTATAGTTCTCTCTCGCCCCCTTCCTTCCCTTTTGTCTCCCCCCATTTTCCGTCGTCCATGTATCCCTTCCCATGTACCATCCCATTACTCCTCCCATTCTCGTCCGGTTTATTCCATCCGTTTTTATTAGGTAGTAGGTGGATCTCGGCTGGGTTTAGAAACAGCATTTCAGGCACTCAAGACAGCAATTGCAGCAGACGCACATGCTTGCGATACTACAGGACAGCACAGTTAGTTATCTCTCTCCTCATTTGCCAGGCACGGTAGGGTGTTAGAGGTGGACGTGGAGGGGCGGTGGACTGGGAAAGGAAAGGGAAAGGAAACTCACCATGCGCATTGGCCGCTGTAGTCCTTCTTCTCCTTCTCCTCGGGGGTAGGGGCTTGTTGGTATTGCATCTATTCACCCTTATTAGCCACTGCCTGCTTCTGTTTATGCCTGTTCTGCTTGCTTCTGTCCCTTCTGCTACTTCTGCCACACGCAAGTGGCAGGGTGGAGGCCAATGGAGAGGGCGGCGAGCTAGTAGGGCGGGAAAGACGCTGCGTGCTACACATACCTGCTGAGGAGGTGCTTGAGGGGCGCCGTAGGGTTGTTGCTGGTGTTGATCTGCCATTGTGGTGGTGGAGTTTCGTCTCTGTTTGTGTTGTTTTGTTTTGTGGATTGGTGGATTAGTTTGGTATAAGGAAGAGTGAGTGGCAGTGGAGGAAAGGACTGAAAGGTAAAGGTTGAACTCGGGTAGTACAAGATCCGAGGCGAGAAGGGGAAAAAGGTTCAAGGTGGCGTTAGAGTTGGGGTAGGGCGGTTTATGTGCTCAGGGGGGACAAAGAAGGGGGGGGGGGTTTAAGATGAATATGAGGTCTTAAGGGTGATATGTTTTATGTGAATAGTACGGTATCCTAGGGATGCCCGCTGAAGCTTCGCAACTACGAACGCTCACTACTTCGCGGAATATAATGGCCAATAGTATATCTTCTTCAGTTGCTTGACTTGTCAGACTATTAACTATAAATGGGGCAATGTAGAAACATCGTGTTACCGAAGTTGCAATGGTTGCAAGGAGCTGGAAGGACTGAGAAGTTTGAATATCGTTCGTTTGGTTTTAGAGGTTTGGTTCCGTCGCTAAATCTTTCTATTCTTCCATTAACTAAGCCTCTTGTGGTTTCTTTGTGGCACCTTGGGGGCTTAGATACATGGTTCACAAATGGCGAATCATCCCAAAAATAGGAGCAAAGGCGCCTTTAATATGGTAGTTAAGCTAAGACGGCTAAACTTCAGTGCTAAACTACGGTGTTAATACGAAAACGCGAAATTGGCGCTAACATGACACCAAAATGTTACTTCGCCTCACCCCACTCACCCCACTCACCCCACTCACCCTGCTCACCCTGCTCACCCCTCGCCTCACCCTTTCAGGCGGCAAGGGGTCGCGATTCCACGCTATGCCTATTGGCACGATTGAGACTATTATCCAGAGGATACACAAGCTTGTGTATGGCAGAGCGGACGGGATGCCCAATTCTCTTGAGTCTATGGTCGTATGTGATGTGACGTGGAGTTCTGAGCCTTATATAGACGATGGGGGTGGTTGCCCCTTTTCAAATTTGAAGCGAGCTTAGCCACAACACGCTCGATCATCATCATGAACAGAAGTAGTGAATCAGAAAAACAGACGGTGGAGACCAGCTCGCTCCAGCCTCGCTCAGGCTGGCGCCGTTTCCGGTCCTAGCCATCATATACATTCATATCGAACCATCTAGCCAGCGAGCTCTGTCCTCGCGGCGATATAAACAGTAAAAAGTCCCTATAGACCCCCCCAAAAACGCCCAACAATGTCCTAACGAGCGTGCCCGAGGACCTCTCTAGAATTCTAACATCGTCCCATCCAATCCCACATCCATCACCGCCGACAAACCCCTCACATTCCCAACAAACTCATCTGCCTTCTCAACGGGCTCGCCGTGCTGCTATCCCCCTCGCTTCCATAGAACCCCGAATCGGTATCGATATCCCATCCCTGATCCTCCTCATCCTCCTTCCCCTCCTCGCCGCTCCACCCCTTCTGCATCGCGCCGCGGGTGTTCCACCGCAGCGTGCGAGACACGCTGTCGAACCACTCGGCGCCCGTGCGCGTCACAGTCGGGAAAGGGTACTGCGAGGCAGCGATGGTGACGTGGTCGCCCTGCTTGAGCTCGACGCGGCCCTTGCCATCAAAGGAGCAGTAGGCTGTTGCGCGCGAGTTCTTGGGGATGGAGACACGGAGGAGGAGACTGTCCGAGAGGACCATCGGGCGGAAGGAGAGGGTGTGCGGGCAGATGGGGGTGAGGAGGATGGCGGGGATATCGGGGTGGACTAGAGAGCCGCCAGCGGAGAGAGAGTAGGCCGTTGAGCCTGGATGTAGGTTAGCTTCGGGGGTCTTTGCAGGGGGTTCAGCGGAGGGACTAACCAGTGGGAGTGGAGAAGATACAGCCATCGGCTTGGACGACAGTGAGGAGCTCGTTATCGCCGTACAGCTCGAGGTTCGAGACATATGGCGATGGTCCGCGGTCGATGACCAGTTCGTTGAGGACCTCGAACTGCTCGCCCTCCTCCATATCCTGTCCGTTCGCGCCGTCGCGGTATACTGTGCAGGTGAAGCGCATGCGCAGGTTGACGCGCATACCCTCGTCACCCATTACTTTGTTGAGGTGAGACTTGTACTGGTCGAACTCGAAGTTGGTCAGGAAGCCGAGGCTGCCGAGGCTGAAGGACAAAATAGGGGGAACGATGCGTTGAAAGAGCCATGAGGTGAATAGCACGGTACCATCACCACCAAGTGTGAGTACGAGGTCGAACTTCTCTGGTTGGCTCCAGCAGAGATCTGGTGACCAGTATTTGAGCATGTGCTGGAAACGTGACTCTCCTGCAATTAGACCCGCGCCGTTGAAGCGCTTAGAGTCGCGCAGCTTCGCGTCGACGTACACGTTTACGCCCAGATCTGATCCATAGCGGGGTGTGCTGAGGAGCCACTCGGCCAGGTTCCTGGTCAGGGTGACGAGCTGGTTGTCCCTTGCTTTCGTCACAATCATGACGTTGCGGACAGCACGCTTGATTGGGCGTCGCTGAAGCTGTTTTGAGACCTCCCGCACGCCCGTGGCAGTCTGCATCAGGCGCGAGTGTGTCATGTACTCGTCACCGCTGATCTCCTCAAGAACCCTGTCGATGTTCACGGCATCGTCGAAGCGCTGGTGGTAGAAGCACGGTGATTGCAACGCGGGAAAGCGGGCGGTTGCTGGTGTACTACCAGACTTTGCAGCGTTTGAAGCGAGCTCGGATAATGCTGCCGAGAGCTTCTGTGACGAGGATGTGCCAGGCCTGCTGTCCCCCGCGTTCTGTGCTGCGAGTATGCCCGATAGGGAAGATACCATCGGGGCATCTGGGTTTGTGCTTCGACCAGATGAGGCTAGTGCCTTCATGATTGTCTGTCTGGGTATGGAGTCCACAGATAGTGCGGAGTTGCGGTGGTTCTTGAACGACTTTGGGGGCTGGAGAAACGGTGACAAATTCCCGTCGGTGGCAGTCGGCTCGACTGGTGGAGCTTTTTCTTCTAAGGCAGTTGCAGGAGGCGTAAGTTCTTCATTGTGGTTTTGCGGGGGATTATTTGTTGTGTTCAAGGGCAGCAGCGGTTTCGAGGGCGCCTGAAACACGGATTCACCAGCGAAGGCGGAATCACTAAATGGCGCAGAGTCCTTCACCGCTTGGGGTCCTGGCAAGGATGTGGTTAAATTTTCAGCTGGGGTATATTCATTACTGTGAGGCGGGACGTTGTCCGATTGCGTGAGAGTTGGATGAAGGGAGGAAGGGAGGAGTGTTGACTCGGACATTGCGACTGTGTGGATGGTATCGCTAGTGGGAGGCAGATTCGGGGTGGAGCGCTCGGTGTTGATAACCGTGGGATCTATTCGGGCGTTAATATGAAAATCCCGAGGCCCCGGAACAACGGATTGAGCCTGAAGAGCAAGAAAACTCTAAACTTTGAGAGGGTGACGGCGTGGGGGTTACACACCTGCGGACTCAGATGACAAGATTGGCGGGGAGATTGTGGAGGCAACGCGCTATGTCCGTCCGGAGTCGGAGGATTCGAAAAGGCGAGGTTGGGGAAAGTCGAATAAAGGTATATAATTATTGGCGAATAAGAGTATGTCGAGAAGGGTATAAATGTCAATATATATAAAAAGCCAAATGTGAGAAATAGGAGCGTCCGTAGTTCGATATAAAAGGGACGTATTTCAAAAGACAATGATCGGATGGACCCTGAGGGGCAACGAGTAGCAGCAGTACGTATACCGAGATTCGCGGGATTATTGAGTCGAGATGGCGGGGGATAAGTTCCAACGGAGCGGGATTGCGGGGCGGGAACGGCGAGATAGTGATTTGCTAGATCTAATCTTTGGAGAGAGGAGACGATCGTTAGCCTTGCGCCCACTGACCATAATCACACCCAGTCACATCTGCTAAAGCCTCGAGTACCCAATGGTGAGAGTTCACCACAGTTGATGGTCTTGGCTGCTCGATGACGCTGGAGATGCATCGAATCGTATGACTTACAGATGCGCTTCTAACAAATCGATAGTCTGGCCGTGTCTTGATGCTGCAGGATCGCACGTAACTGTACCACGAGGACCGATGCGGACTGTTGTGGAAGTGATATGGGCTGTATCCGGACAGGAACAAAAGCCACAGGTGATTGCTGCCGGGGTTCGTGCAGAGCACCTGCTTGACGCTTATGCGCGATTTCGTAGAGATGCGTGATTGTCGTGTGGGAAGACGGCGAATTAGAGACGACAGGTCCTCGATGATGCGTATGTGGGCGGCTCGAAGTTGGAAAAAGAGGCTTCCTTCAGGTCTTGTCTATCGCAATGGAGACTTCTATAGGGTATAGAACGGAATAATGAAAACTATTGAAAGCGGCAGACGCGGTAATGGCAGTAAAAATATGCAAAGAAGTTCGAATTAAGGTATATAGTGAAAGGTATAGTTTGTTCGATGCTCCCAGCGCAACTCGATGATGGTCCAAGGTAATAAAGACGGAAGCAGGGGCCAGCACAGCGACGTACCGAGACCAGGACACGAAAAGCGAGGCCTTTCACCTCTTATACTCCGTGGCCTCGCGTCTTCAAAATAAAAAGTTAGTCCCCCCCGGCGAGGCGGCGACGGGAGCGAGGAGGCGGCCCGTGATCTTGAGACGAGGCTAGCATCTCAGGATACGGAGGGACTTGCTCTGGACTTAACAGGCGAGCGAATGCGCCGCGAGTGTTTCGAGCGCTGCAGTATACGTGCGCGTTACGACGGTGTATAGCGGAGATGAGTATTACGAATGGGAGAGGCAGATGGAGAACGTGCCATCCCTCATTTTACATAACTTGGCGCGGAGGAAGACATGTACTGGCGAGAGGATCCAGTTCGTCGCGATGTAACTTGTCCCAGCCCTGGGTCCTTGAAGGTGATCCCACAGCTGCGACGGCGCCTCAATCCATCGCAACTCCACAGCACCTATAGGAATGGCCGGTCAAGGAACAGAGCTTAGTCGTTGTGATATGTCCGCGGCCAGCTCTATATTTGCTGTCCAATATAGCACCTGTCACAACTGACCCCAACATCCAACACTAGAGGCCGCCACAGCTGGACCCCAACAGCCAACCCAAAAGAGGCCGAGCAGACAGCGTCGTGGATAGATACCAACGTGCTTCACTCTCGTCACAGACGGTAGTTCGCACACGTATCAATGCAATTATTGCACGCACTGACAGCTGAAGCCGCGCGCCAGGTCGTACGGCAAGGGGTAGCTATGGGACGCCTCGCCCCGACCTATTCCTCCGCGGCTTGGAGGCCGAGGCCGAAGTTGTCTCGTCTCGTCCCAAGACTCCACTTGTCTGTAACAAGCCTCCTGGGCTCTAGGCGCTGGGATTCCGCAGGTTGGAGCTCCTTCAATGGGCCAGGAGGGTCGGCTTCTCCACGGCGGAATTCCTATGTAGCGACTTCATAGGGGGTGAGCCACCTCAGCCCATTACAGCTTCATAAACCGTGATATATGTTGTATGGAAAAGTTATTCCCCGATTCACCCCATATACCCTGATAATAATGGAATAATGCCGTCCGTTCTTGTTCACTTGGCTGTCAGCGCGTCGCCCGAACGCAGACGATCTGAAACGACACAAACCCCTGAAACACTCCCACCAGTGTCACGTTTGGTGGAGCTCCACACTGGGAACTGACAGCTTGTCCGTGGGAAATATGCAAGCTGCCTCCTCTGTTTCGGTAGTTAGGGTGGCGGCTGCACCGCAGCTTGGGAGCGGGGCGCTGCAATTGACAGCTACTTGCCACGAATGAGGGCAGGAGGCAGGGAGCGCAGGGAGCGCGAAGAGGCTCTTACGGTAGGATTGTTTTACCTTTTGAGGATGGGACGTAATGGTACGATTCACAGCAACGTAGTAGCAATGCATGAACGCGGAGGTTTGGGAGTGGCATGAGGCGACGGTGCCACTGATGGAGCAAAACAATTCGGGGAGGTTTGTTATATCTTGGCATTCCCTCGTAGCATAATGCTCCTTCCTTTTGAAGACCACATGTCAAGTGTATCCTGTTGATTGTCTGCCGCGTCAGCCCCTTTCCTGCGGGCTACCTCTGTCTTAAACCATCCTTATTGACGACCGTAACGCGACAACTCGAGGGTCGAGCTGAGAATGCTATAATGCTATTTGAGCCACAACAGGTTCCAGCTTCCCATTCTTGGACCTGAAGAACATTTCGGCTCCGTTACCTGCCCTTTACTTCACTTGGAGCAGGGCCGTACTTGTGGTTTCTCGCCGTGAACTATATATGTGAGACGAAGGTTCTCAGGATCCCTCATCACGTCCTCCATGCCATATCTTTGTCGACCTTCCCTTCGACAACAGTTTGAACAAATTGCATCATCCCACCTTCCTCGCCTTCATCAACCATGGCGTCGGGGTCTGCCGAGCCACAGCAAATCTTCTCTGCCTGAATGCAGACTTCGTCCCACTGAGCTGGCGTAAACGAGCCTTGACTCTCGATGACAAGCGGTTCGGCATTTGAGGTGAAAGCTAATACGTGTATAGACTGGGCGGTTTGGGTTTCGAGAAGGCTGGGGTTTTGAAGAATCTTCCCCTTTTCAGAAATGGCGAGGAAGGTTGCTGTCAAAGAGGTGGAAAGTGGGATGGCGGCGGAGAGGAGGGCCAGGATCGCGGTTTGGAGCAATGCGGGTAAGATAGGTAGAGTCTGCAGGGTGAAATGTTAGACTATGTAATCATAGAGGTTGGGCGAGAGAGAAATACCGAAGAAGTCTGGATTGATTTGGAAGTCGCCGTCTCGTCTGGGGGTGTGCTTGTTACTTGGAGAGTAACTTGAATCAGCGTCCGAGGAAAATTGCTGATTAATACGATTTGCCGCAAAGTCCGCTCGATGATTGACTCTAGATGCCGCTCGCGAGTGCTTCCTACCCCCGCCGCTGGCCGTACGATGACATCGATGGCAGCCTCTTCAGGAAGCTCGTCCCGGCGTTGAACTTCGATTGGACCGTTGACAGCGCCTATGATCGTATACCCGTTCTGTGAAAATGTCGCAGAACCATCTGTGCTATGAAGATGCGACAAGATTGCGCTGGGTTCTTGAGAGGATGACATGGCGTCTATGTTGCGAGGTGTAGTAGAAGGCTGGGGCTTGAAGAAGTTAATTGTTTCGTCTTGGTGACTTTTTGATACGGCTGCGGAAAAGTGGCGCTAAAATGCGGGACACCCCGCGTCTTAGCTCCAGCTCCTCAGCCTTGCAGGACATATCGTGTGTGAGGGTTATACAGCTCTCGCTGTCAACACAACTACAAACTACAAACCTTTTCACATTGGTCAAGATGCCTGCAACTACCGATACACCAAAGGAAGCACAAGCTGCGAGTATTCCAAATCTCAGAGACCGCATCCCAAAGCTACAGTCTAAACGTCGGCAAGCGCCACCCTCGAACTCCCTCCCAGTCCCAGAAACGCCACCGCTCCCTCCAGCTCCCGATACCTCAGCATTCGAATTCATAAAGCCCAGCCGCCGTATATTGTCTAAGAAAGACCACGACTTGTTCCTAGCCTCGCCTACCCATGACCTTCTGGTTGCCTTCGTCTTCGGCCTTGCGGGGGCCGTAGTAGACACACCAATCTCCGCCGTCTCTAAAAAGACGCCCAGCCCTATCGTCCAGAGCATACTTGACATACTCAACAATGTCGAAGATGTGATAGCACGCAGCCCAGCCGATGAACAAGGCGACTCTCGCTTTGGTAACCGGGGTTTCCAAGACTTCATCGACCTAACTGCGAAGGAACACACTGCGTGGCACAAGAAGCTGGGCATCTCCGACGAGAAAGCGATAACAGAAGTCTCGACATATTTCCTCCAGTCGTTCGGCAACCGCACACGCATTGACTACGGTTCAGGCCACGAGCTGAACTTCATGGTCTGGCTCCTCTGCCTATACCAGCTATCCATAATCACACCCGACGACTTCCAACACCTGGTGCTAAAGGTGTTCACTAAATACCTAACGCTCATGCGCCATATCCAGTCCACATATTATCTCGAGCCCGCTGGCTCCCATGGAGTCTGGGGTCTGGACGATTACCAATTCCTACCATTCCTCTTCGGCGCAAGTCAGCTGCTCCACCATCCCTATATCCGCCCACTTTCCATCCACCAAAGTATTATCCTCGAGGAGTATGGCGCAGATTATCTATACCTCAACCAAGTAGCATTTGTCAATAGCGTCAAGAATGTTGAGGGTCTGCGATGGCACTCGCCGATGCTGGACGACATCTCGGCTGCTAAATCGTGGGAGAAGGTGCTGGATGGGATGAAGCGGATGTTTGTCGCTGAAGTCCTGAAGAAGCTGCCTGTGATGCAGCACTTCATGTTTGGATCGCTCGTGCCAGCGGTGGAGGAGATGAACCGGGAAGAGGATCTTGGCCTGCCTGAGGAAGGCGCGGATGCCGAGGGTGGAGAGGTTGTAGTTATGGTTGATGGCATGAAGCACGTGCATCAGATGAACAGCTGGGGCGATTGCTGTGGAATAAAAGTGCCGAGTAGTGTGGCTGCGGCGCAGGAGATGAAGAGAAGAGGCGGTGGGGAGGGATTGAGAAGGATTCCCTTTGACTGATTGGTACAGATAGAATAAACCAAAACTAAATGATTGATGAACTCTACTTTTTATGCAATGAGTATTGGAATGGCAATGCATTGAGTCAACCAAAGGCTGGTGGCTATATATTTCTACTGTACGGGTATAATCCAATACCGTGTTTCTATCCATAAACCTCCCATGAGATGCACGTCAAGCTAGCCAAAGGCACATCAGAGCTTCGCTGTTGGTTTGTCGAATCGCACTGTATTTGAGACAGTTCCAACGTTCTCCAGAGAGACCTCGACAACATCACCATCCTTCAGCCAGCACTGAGGACTCATGCCCATTCCAACACCGGAAGGCCTATCCACCGTAAGCAAAGGCCATTCATACAATGCTTCAAGCAGGAAAGTCTGTACTCACGTTCCGGTGAAAATCACGTCTCCTGGAAGTAAAGTGGTGCCCATGCTCAGGAATGCGATCGACTTTGCAATTCCAAAAATCATATCGTCCGTACTGTCATCCTGGACAGTCTTCCCATTCACCTTCGTACTTATCCGCAGGGATTGAGGATTTCCAATGACCTTGTTGCTCACAATGCCTGGCCCGAAAGGTCCCCATCCATCGAAGCCTTTGCCGATGCCCCATTGTCCACCTCCGTATTTGAGCTGCCAATCGCGGTGAGAAACATCGTTCCCGACTGCATAACCAAGGATGTAGTCCAAGGCCTCTGCCTCAGAGACATCGGAGCAAGGTTTCCCTATGACAATGACCATTTCCCCTTCATAATCTAGGCCTTCTCCCACTTGTGCCTGAGGATGGACCGGGATTGGGTCAAAGGGACCAGTAAGGGAGGTTACTGGTTTGTAAAATAAGACGGGATATTCTGGGAGTGGCAGGTTTGACTCCCTGGCGTGCTTCTCATAGTTGAGCCCCAGGCAGCGAACTGTTCGGACATCCTCGAGTGCTAGGGGTGTCAGGAGTCGCTTGATGTCGACAATCTTGTTGGTTATCTTATAATTCCCAAAGATCGAGCCTTCAATAATTCGGGCTTGCTTGGTCTTAGCAAGATCCGTCACGCCCGAAGGTAGAATGGCATCTCCATAATAAGTCCGGCCATCTGTGGCCAGAAATCGGACGAGGCGCTGAAGAGATGTTAGCATCCAGAAGTTAAATGTGAGAACGCATCTTCCAAGATGACTGCTGACGTACGGTAAAGGATGATGACATCGCCGGTTTTCGGTTCTCTTGCTTTCGAAGTTTAAGCCATGAGAAGTCCAGCATCTTTGCTGTGTCTACATCGTAAACTCAAACCGGCGCCAGCCTCTTAAGTATTTCCGACCCCCATTTGATATATCCCCGACGGTGGTCCCGCAGTTTACCCCAACGGCAGATCTCCAACGGTACATCCCCGCAAAATCGGTACCCCTGCCCCATCGGCTGCGGATCTGCGGAATCACACGGCCTCTAGCTTTCCACGAATGAAGAAATATCCCGAAACTTTAACATTGAATCGACAGCTGTCCGAAAGTTTGGAAGAACATTCTATCCGTCGAATCAATTCGCATCTCGGATATTCTTGAGAACACATACGTCCCAAATGAGGCTCTCAGGGTTACAGAGAGATGCCTTGGCACTCTATAGAAAATGCCTGAGGGAAAGCAGGAAGAAACCGGCTGTTTGTTTACCTCGGTCTGGTCGTGTGAGCTCAGTTTGCTGACGAAGTTCCAAGGAGACAAAGATGCACTTCCAGAAGTTTGCTAGGTATGACAAAGCTTTACAATGTGTCTTGAGTACCAATTGGCGCTAACCGAACGATGCAGACACGAGTTCGAGAAGAACATTGGCCTCAACAAGAAAGATTTCAGCGCGATCGAATACCTCCTAAGGAAGGGGAATCGACAATTGGAGATATACGCTTCGCCCGGTATAAAAGACATTCGATAAGTCGAGGATGATGCTCTGGGTCGTCGATAAGATAGGACCTCGACGCGTATTGGGTTGGCAAAGGGGATAATGGAGGCAAGAGCGACCGGGCCAGCCGGGATTCACGATGGCCGGCATGTATTCTTATTCGAAGCGGGATCGAGTCCTGAAGGCAATATGATCAATACCGCTGATAGCGCTACATGATGTTGCCTCCAAACGCCCACTTGAAAGGCTTCCTTCGTTTCCGCCTCACCCGCCTTCGATCGAAATACAGCCATGGAGCCAACTACACGTCTCCGCCTGGAATTGCACAGAAAGCACCACTCCACTCAAAAATACCGATTCCGACTAGATCTATAAGGCAAATGAGTAGTCGCAGGCAATACATTGGTCAAAGCCGCGCCTCGTTTCCAGGTTTGGCAGTACTCCGCGGAGCTCGCCACGCGTTGGGCCGTACGGTTAAACGCCCTGGGGGTCTATTTGCTACAGGGACGGAGCACATAAGTCTTTGTTAAGAAGTCGAGTTCCACGTGGAAGAGTCGGGGACCATGGTGGGCGGCCAGCTACCAATATTAACAGCCCTTCTGTTCAATATCAGCATCCACAATCTGAGTCGAAGAGCCCCGCAACACAAGTGACAGTTGCGGACCAGGCCTCCCCGAGTATACTTCTGCATACTCAAAGTCAAGAGAAGATTCTGGCAGGGCCATCGCCCGGGCCAGCGGGCGTGCCATTCCTGCTTCCGCTGCTGAGAGAGCCGTCTATCTGTGTCAACGCCAGCAACAAACTCCTCGCTGGTCTACCGGCTGCCCACATCTTCGAACACCCAGCGCCTCTTGATTCCGGGCTGAAAACCGGCGATCCTGTCAAACGTGACCTCACCCCTAAGCATCGACGCACCAATCCATCGGCAGCAAGTCCATCGCCCCATCTATTATTCGCTGTGCCGGCCCCACCACCGCCTTCGGGTCTCCCCGTTATAGACAGCGCAGAAGTTACGTATCAGGATATTTTGGACGGCTTGCAGCTTGGTTTATCAGCTATCCTGGACAGCGATGTGGATTTCTGGGTCAAGGAGGTCGTGGGTACGAGTGTCCGTCGCGTTTTGGCCGATATAGCTGCGTTGGGTGAGCTGAGGGGGTAGTGGGTGAGTGGGGTGCTTGATCTCGAGGGGGGCGTTTTATAGATGGAAGCTAGCTATCGGCTTTCGAAGGCAGATGGGAAGGTGAAAAGAAGATGGAGTTGCGAGGATAGCCGTTCTATTGATGGAGGCTATCGGCTTTGGAAGACAGATGGGAAACTGGGAGAAAGATGGAGCCAAGGACGATTAGGCATATCATTATACCCCCCTCACAAACAGAACAGAAACAATCAATCAATCACATCACCAACCACACTCCCATTCTACCAACCACCCGCCCCTCCCACCTCCGTGCTCCGATCCTCCTTCCCCCACCAACTTTCTCACCAACTCCCCCCCCCACGTGTCTCAACACCGTAAATAGACCCATCCTATCCACAGCACCAGTATGAGACCACGCTGATCTGACGCGCTGGAAGCTGGAATGGAATGCTCTACCCCCCGGGTCTGCGAGACGCCCACCCCGCACCATGCGTGCGTGTGTTTCAGAAGTGGCGTCATGGCACGGACGTAGGCGGGATGGGGGGGAGCCGGTGGGTGTGGTTTTGGGGGAGGGTGGGATGGGAAGGTGGGATGGAGATGGCCTGCATGTAGGTCTGGTCTAGTTTGGTCTACTTGGTGCCAGTCTGGCGGATGGCAGCGGTGCTGTGCAGGTGGGCCGTGGGCCGTGGGGTGTTGGATGGTATTGTGTGGCTTTGTGGTCCTTGGATAGGTGACGACGAGAGGCAGGGGACCTGGGCTAGAGGTGTGTAGTTGACCCAGCTGGATAACACGGGCCGCATACTGTGATTTTTGAGGAGCCGCTACCTGCTAAAGTCATCAAGAAGGGGGGGGTCATGTGATATTTATGAGGTTGTTTCGGACCATCTCCATTCCACGGGGATACCATCAAATCATCCCCACGGAAGCAGGGGGATCCGCGCAAGGAGGCCAGCAGTCCTCGCCGTTTATACCTGTAACGACCCGTCCGTTGTGAGTTGTTTTGACTTGCCGCCCTGCCTCCCTTGATGCCTGGCAAATCCCAAAAAATCCCGCTCCCATCGATGAGAAGTTAGCTGCGTGGATATGATGTCTGGGAGTGCTCTCCAGATGGAGTCTCTTGATGAGACTCCGACCCGCCCGTCACATTCGTGCCGCATGTCCCGCTCAGGTGCGTAGCCGCTGGACGCGATGTAACAGGTGCGTGCACGGTGCAGGCTGGGCGGGTTAGATGGCGCGGTGCCTTACATAAGTGCCCTGTGCGGGTTTTGGGGCTGGAGAGGAGAGGAGAGAGGAGAGAGGGGGGGCGGCTTGTCGAGGAGTGATGGATTGGGGGAGTTTGGTGGTTCGGTGGCTATCCGTGTAATTTTGGTTATTTTTATTTTCTTGTACTCCTGGACAAGTCTAGGCTGGGCCTGGAGCTTGGGGGGTGAGCTTGCTGGCGCTGGTGCTAGAATTCGGATGAATGGTGAGGATTGTGCTACTGACTGTGCGTGAGCCGGCGATGCTGTATGGTTTGCTGGCTGTGAAGTGATGCACCTCGGTCGAACTCCGACATGGGACGTGTGAGGAGGCGATGAGACGGCGGTTGATGGGGGATGGGAGAATTGTTAATTGCTAAATAAGCACTGGGCTTTGTTTCAACGACCACCGTGCTCATTTACCCGTCAATCCGCCAGCGTCAATGGGAGATTAGCTATGGGAATTCCCCACGAGGGGGATGGGCGTTCATTTCATTTCACTAACCACACCGCTCTTCCGGGAAGATGAGGCCGTCTTTGATCTGATACCGTATCACGCATCATCAGATTGTTTCGTATCTGGGACTTTGGCTGACTATTTGCTGAGGCGTGAAACTCCTCCCTCCTCCTCCTCCCCCGTCGTCGAAATCATCCGCTCTTCAGTGGCAGCTTGCTTATCTTACCGCACTACCTGCAGCCTGCGCGTGTACCGTACTCGCATTGAAGAAACGCGGCTCGCAACCACGCACCCACTTACCATCAGTCTCAGCTCAGCGCAGCGCGGCCCAAGACAAGTGTGGCAGCCATGTCATCTCCACTAACGAGCAACACGTCAGTGAATTATCTAATATCTCAGCCTTCAGTACAGACAGTGCAGCATTCACTGTGTCTGGTATGAGCTATGGAAAACGTGCTGTACAGTACAGTACAGTTCCTCTCAGCTGAGTGGCGTATAAGCCACCGATAACCAGGGCTGGGATCAAGGGCTGGTCTAGGCTGGCCACACTGCCGGATTTGTCCAACAGTGCATCCCTTTTTGCATGTGCTGTGAACTGTCCATGTCGGTACGCGCTGTGTGAATACCGACCCAATTACCATTTGCGGGGATGCCAGAGGGCAAAAAGGGGTACGAGGCGATGATGTGCAGATGGCGATTAGTAGCGGGCATATAGGGGCCAAGCCACAGCAGGACGCAAGGGGGCGTGCGTTCTCACTATCGGCTCGGCTGGAAAAAGCACGGTTCGGTTTTTAGCAGCACATGGTTTCTGGGTCTTGGTTCTCGACCTCAGGGTGAGACATTGAAAAGCGTGGGAAGCGACGATGGCTCGCGATTACGATATCGGGTGATGGGCGGTTGTCTTACGCACGGGAAGATCCTACAGTACTGTCAAAGTTCTGTTTACTAACTGTGTTGAATATTAGATCTCCCAGCCCGATTTGTGGTTCACTGGCTCTCAGGTCAACCAGCGACATTCCGCAACGATCTGGGCTAAGGTCTGGGGAGGCCCATATGTCGCTTGATTGGGTGGATAGTGACGGGGATCATGGCACCCCTCGCGCTGTTGGCGCCAATCGGTGGAGCGAAGTCTTGGAGATCCATACTGTGATGGACCAGTTGAGAAGTCGACGAACCACTTGGCCTTGGGGGTAAGGTCATACAAATCTCATTCTTGTGGGCCATGGCGGCGGCGAAAGATGATGACGGGGAGCATGATCACCACCACAAAACGCACAGGAGGGCGAGGAGATAAAAAGGTTTTCCCCAGGCTGGTCCAATGGGTGGCTTTCCTTTTGCTCTTTTCTTGAAAGTCAGTCGCTGATGATTACCGGCACTGTGCTCGGGCATGGAGTACTGGCTACCGGTTGATGCCCTGTCTGAACAAACTTCATCTTTGGGCTCGATGGGCTTCAGCGGCTCGATGGGCTTCAGGAACTACCAACATGAAATGCCAATTTCTAGGCGGTCTTTGATGGATGGGTCTCACGGCCACGTGAGAAGAGGCCGTCCCTGCACACATATACACAAGCAGTTGGCTGGTATCCCCCACTACTGCAACTTCGTATCGACCGCACTCCCATTCCCCCCTCCCCTCCCCTCACACTCACAGGAGAAGCGGCAAGGTATAAAAGAGCAGAGTACTACTCTGTGGCACATCTGAGCATGTAAGTACAATATAAGAAACGGGAACAAGGAGTAGCAATATATTAGAAGTGTTTCAAAGAGAGGTGGCCATTTGCATACATCTGTACTCCGTATAGTAGAGTATATCTCGTTATTTCTTTCTCGCTGTATGTAATACTGTCTAGTGTCTAGTCTGGTGACAGTCTGGTGACAATCAAACCGTGTCTCTGTACTCTAGACGCTGAGAGCCACCAAAAGGTGGAGTAAAAGCAAAGTAGGAGGCGTACAGAAGTAGGAGGAGTACAGTATTGTTGGTGCTTGTGGCTTGTGGTTTGTGGTGCTTGCTATGGCTGTGGTACTTGTTGTACGGTGCCGCCGCCTTACTGTATGCATGTACTCTACTCATCCATCTACCATCTACCATCCACCATCCACAATCTGTAGGTGGACACTATCTGTGGAGTACCGGCGGCTTCAACCACCACCCACCCCCCCATAGCAAATATTCCCTTCCAAAATGTACTCCGTACTACTCTAATAACTCTTAAACTCTACCTAAATTCCTTCTCTCCCGTTCAACCATATTTCCCACGATTACTCCTACGATCTCCCACGAAACTATCCTATACCTGCATTTCGCCATTACTCCTCATCCAAAGTACGAGAAATCGCTATACCATAATAAATAGTAATATTTGTTCTTTTGCGACTCCTGACCAGCCAACCCAGCCTCTTCCGCCAGACTCGGTATACTCAGCGTTACCCCTGCATTACGGCACCTCCATAATACCGGCTTGTATATGCCTACATATTGGCCGCTCTAATAACCCCCAATTGCTTGTTCATCTTAAATTCCCAAACTCAGCATCGACTGCCGATACAATCATTCTCTGCGACCAGCGACCGTTTTATTCTTGTCCCCCGATCTAATCCACCTCTATATGCTCGTTGTCGCCGCCTGAAATAGCAGTGGCCTCTGCTCCTGGATGTGCGACAATTCTCAGGGTTACCCCAGAACATCTCGAAACCTCTAACCCCCATCGCATCGACATCAGCCGCCACGATCCTTCCCTCTTCGCCGGTCTAAACCGCCGAGCTTTGGCCAAAGCCGCTGGCCCATTGGTGGTTTTGCCTTGTTCGTCGGTCCGCATAGCGCGATCCAGGTCCTATTCGCTGGGCGATGTCGCAGCATTTGCAATTCAGAGATGGACCCTCTGATACCTACAACTTTCCAGTCCAGGACAGCCCCACAGTAGGACGAACAATACCTCAGTCTTCAGTTGGCAATCCTCAAGGGAGTCCGTCGTCGTTATCGGATACTGGTTATAGGTACGTTGTGGTCGGCGTCAAAGATTCCCCCCCCTCTTTCTGACGACGCATTTGGACAGGACGCATCACAAGGCGACCCCGAGTCCTTTACAGACGAGCACATCTGCAAACCCGAACCACGCGACCACGACGCCTACGAAGCCTGGCTTCTCCAGACCGTCAGTTGAAGAGCAGTCGCGCACGGTAGAGACGGTGCGGTATATGTCTCGGAGGGGAGACGAGCCTCGATCCCCTAAAGAACGTCTGGACGACCTACTGGCCTCTGAAAAGAGTTTCTACGACTCAGAAGACGCGCCAGCAAGTCCCACACAAGCAGGAGGAAGACCTAGGTA